GTAACGAACTGTTTGTTTGAGATGAGGTGAAATGGGGTTTAACGTCGCGTCCAAGATTATTGCACTTATAGAGTGTGTGGCTGCTTGTACTAGTTCTGACTGATGCCGATTCATAGTGCTAGCCGACAGAGATACCATGCCACAGTTTAACATGAACACCCATCTCAGACACAGTACACCGACCAGTCCTTGTTTTAGCCCCTAAATGCGGAGCGCCAGACAGGGTAACAAGTACCACCTTTTAACGTCTTTTGGTATGACGCGGCCGGGGATCGAACACCAGACCTTCCGCTCTGCGAGCGGACGCTTTACCACTAGACCACGGTGGCGGTCTATGTTTGTTTGAAGCACTAACACCTATATCAAGTCCAGAGCACATGGTCTCCGTGTAATATCAAGTCAGGGGCAGGGTGGCCCAACAACAGGGGGTGTCTTCGTTCAGAGTTGCGTCATAGTGGTCCCAGCATCCACTGAACGTGGGTTCGAATCCCTGATTCCTCCCGTTCATTACCCTTGGTTTGTCAGCAGATATCTGTCCGTACATGTGGTAAATATCTACGAGCTGTGATAACGCGCCGTGATACAACTGAAACACTGTTCGTAGCAGAAGTATATCCGATTCACCCACTCATCCAATATCACGTCATATATTGTACTTGAATGTGTGCCATTTTGAAGATACATTTTGACCTTTTCATCTTCCCTTTCAACTCGAGTCTTCCCATCGCTTTTTCCTTACACATTCCCGTTTCATGTTATTGGTCAGTAGTATGATAGTGTGTTAAATCCCTGTGATGCATTATATCCTATTGGTTTTAATATCCTAGAACACGAATTTTAGGTACTTTTTCTCAAATTCCTGATTAGAGCATGTGAAACTTATTCAGGGTTTTATATTGACAAAACATCTTCAGTCAAGTAATATTCTCACCATAATACTTACAGATTTAGGCAAAATGAGATTCACCTTCTGTAACAAGTTTACATACAGGACGTGCTAAGTGATAACACTAAACTTAAGGGGCGGTCGGGTAGCCTAGTGGTTAAAGCGTATGCTCGTCACGCCGAAGACCCGGGTTCGATTCTCGACATGGGTACAATGTGTGAAGCCCATTTCCGTGATATTGCTGGAATATTGCTAAAAGCGGCGTAAATCCGTACCCAGTCACTCAACGTATGCGGGTACCTTCAATTTTAACAAACTAGTAAGCATGTTATACTATTGTCTTTTGTCTGAGATTACAGATACTTCTCAGGCTTAAATAAAGTTTTGAACTCTCTATACAATCTGCACCATGAACTATTGTTCAAACTGCTATTCCAAAACTGAAAACACATGTTTATCAGAACATATTTTAATATCTTAAGAAACGCTACTTTATCACCAACTGACGGAGATAACCACACACAACCAAATCCATTAGATAAGAAAGATCGAATTTGAAACACGAATATTATATGCAAACTTATTATAGTATAAATAAGCTTAGTGTAAGCTTTTTTCGGTATCCTATACCACCATGCACCTCTATTAATTTCAACCAATACGTTACAGTTCTACATACAGACATACAAAGAGTAACGACCACATTCACCATGTGCAATGACGACATTATCATTGTTCACAAGTGCTTTGAACGTTATTCAGACGCAAGAGCGCACAAGGTTTCTTGCGACTTTTGACAATGGCCAAACCAGTATCAAGCTTCACTATGGGATGAATATTGAAGAAGTGTCTCTGATCTGAATCAAAGGATATCTGGTTCCAACAAGGGAAACTCCAAGTGTTTTCCGACAGCTTTTGATCCTCTTCCAAGGCGTCCCTGAGTTGAGGGGTCAAATAATATTGTTATGTGTATTGGAAGAAACCATTCCGAGTAACGATCAACATTCTCCCACATACCATTCTCACATTGGTTGACAAACTGACAAAACACAAATCAAATGTGATCAGTACATATGGAACAGGCAGAATGTTAACTTTAGAGTATGAATAATGCCAGTTTAAAATTCAAATACAGTAATCAAAATAATGTTTCGAAGCTAAACACCATCACTAGTTTTCCTTACAGTTGAATAACACCGTACGAAACCATTGTGGAGTCTCATGTAGCTGCAATGATTCCTCCACCATAGGAACTGCCGAGTACGTCGCTCCCCGGGGACACATTCGCCTAGGGTAACACATCTGATGGTAACATGAATGATTGCTATCAATATCCGCGCACTCATCAATAAGTGATTTCAATGAAGTCAGTCAGTAGTATGATTGTGTGTTAAATCCCTGTGATGCATTATATCCTATTGGTGTTAATATCATAGCATACTTATGAAGTGGGCTCTAATGCCTGTTCTAAACACTTACTTCTATATGTACATTGTACATGTACACGTTTGTCCTTCAAATAGTTTTAAGCGTGTTTTACATGTGGGTTAAATTAAACAATATTATTTCTATTTCTTATATAGAATATCATAGTTTGTTCTTTAGGGAATACAAACGCTTGCGGACAAGATTCTAATCTAGATTTAATTAATTCCAACCACAAACCCGTTTCCCAGAACAAACAGACTATTAGATATTCAACAAAAGATGTCATATTTGCGCATGCATAACGACACAGCAAATATTACCTCCTCCCTGCACTTAACGACGTCAAGGGTATATAACGACTGTGTTGTCAGGGTAAACGACTTCGTCATCGCTTTAATGCATCTGAGTGTCAATATCGGTCTTGGTAAAAAAAAGCTCTCCGGTTACTTTCCGAGATTGTACTTGAATGCCTTAATACATTATTCATGAGATTTCAGTGAAACTTCCTTTTATTAAAGTAATTTATAATCCGTGCTTCGCATGAAGCTTCAAAGAAGTACTGCTTATGTGCTAGACATGCGTAGGGATTTGATACAACTAGAGGCATTGCGTCAGGAATCAAGTTTTATATTTTTCACTGCCGTGTTTCATTGGCCTGCAGCAAATTGTCTGTACATTGATTTTATTCCAACCTTTTATGACGAGCAATTTCAGAAGCGACCCAATAACACTTTCCTTTTTCATGAAACGGAGCCGATACAGCTTTTCGGAAAAGAGTGGTGCATTTTCTAATGTTTAACGTTTTTATTCGTACTTGAATTATGCTTGGAAGAGAGTTGATTAGTAAAGTACAGGTGACAATAACCAAATATATATATCTATGAACGTGTGTTTATGGTTTTACGCCTCCGTCAGCAATAAAGTAGGTAGGTATATTACGGCGGCTCAGTGAATGATCGAGTCTGTGCAAGTGGATAACGTTAATATTATTAGAGTCGTGTCGTGTTTGTTGTTAAACACCACACCCAGTCCGACGGCGAAGGGAGTAACATCAACCGCCGTCGAGATCGTTGTACGATGACGTGCAAACACCATCCACTTTGGTCGCCTCTCAGAACAAGCACAGATAGCTTTGGATTAATTAATACCCTGCAACCCAACGGTATCATCTTCATGGGAGTACTTCTTAAACTGTACCACAATAAAATATGGATATGTCTGTCTTGTAGTTACCAATATATGTATTCAGTAGATCTTTCTGAGGACATGGCCATCTGTGTCAACTTGCATTGTTAAAAATTCATCGATCTTTCTTTGCATAGGCCCGAGTTTACAGGTATCAGAAGAATATGCAATTCGTGGCATAGTGCCAGTTCGAGTCATCACCATATTTCAACATCGCAAGAAATATCCACTGGATAAGAGGTAAGCGGTTGTCACAGCCAACACTGACGGATACTGCACAAGTTTAGATTACAATCACACTTTAGTCACCTGTGATACTGGTGAAATAAAACCCAAAGGTCAATTTTGTTTATGTGCTCGGATACTGATACTCGGACCACGGCTGCACCACACAATCCACAGAACGCAAGTGTCAAGACAAATTTTTCACGAAAGTACTTACCGATACTTTAAAAGGTTATAATCCAGTGATGATCTGAATCAGTATATACAGTCTGTTTTAACCAGTTCTGTGTGAATATCGTCTGTTTTGTTGATGAAACAACAGACGCACTCATAACACTGCACATGCTTCGACATCTTTCATCCGCTGACGTGATGCTAACGATCCAGCTGAAAGTTGTTTTCAACCTGTGTGACATTGAATTCGGACCCCTCCAACAGCAGTTAATTTATTTTTCATGTCCTACATCGCACATGTCCTGACCACCTCAAACACACCAGCAAACCGCGGCGCAGGTGACAGGTGAGCACGTGCCTCACGAGATGGACGTGCAAGACAAATGACGAGTTGTTAAAGCGGCCTTGCCCTTTAGCCAAATGAAAAAGACAAATCTTTCAGTGACAGAAGTACGAATGGTTTGTTTTTTTTGTTCGAGCCAGAACATTTTTTTTCAGTAGTACTTAAAACAAAATTTCAAAAAATGTGTGAAAGGATACCAAACATCCCCCATCCCCAACTGCCAGAACACCGTACGCGTATGGTATGAACATAAGGAGATATTGTGGAGAACGATATTGTATGTAGGTCAAACCTATTTCACAGGGATATAATATATAAACCTTCAATGAAATTCCAATAATGACTCAACGCTTCCTTAAAAAAAGGGGGGCGGTCGGGTAGCCAAGTGGTTAAATCGTTCGCTCGTCAAGCCGAAGACCCGGGTTCGATTCCCGTCATGGGTACAATGTGTGAAGCCCATTTCTGGTGTTCCCCGCCATGATATTGCTGGAATATTGCTAAAAGCGGCGTAAAACCATACTCACTCCCTTTAAAAAACGCTGTGAGCGTAGGGTAATTTAAACAGAATTTCAGTTGATTGGCCCTTATATATAAAATGTATTTACAACTAAGGAATGAGACTAATACCCTTTTTTCTGAAGAATGAAGAATATGCATGTTCTCAATTAAGTATTAAATAACAGCAAGATAAATGATATGTTCTGATCCAGATTTGGCTAAATATCAAGTATGCATAAAGTAAATTAATTACACATAAACATGGTTTTCAATGTTTTATTATCATTCACTGGGTGCGTCTGTTTACTAACTACTATATAGTAGTAGTATTCGTTCTGACAAACGTTCAAAACCAAGTAACAGTGTCGTGAACTTCAACGCACGTTTGTTATGAACATATATACAGTGTTGCAGCATCTACCACACGTCATAACAAATGCAAAATGAGCAAATCAAGATTGTTAAAATATATTCATCGAATTCCAGTGATAGAGATAAACCTGACTCACGAATTATGGCACTGTTATTAACCTACTTAAATAACTCAAGACGATTGATATCGACTGCTAAAGATTATTTTCTAGTATTTAAAGGGCTTCAACTCTACACCGAAAACGGATCACATCACCCCGACGACTTTCACAGTCACTTGGAATTCCTGCATCAATTTTCGATAAATAGTTGCCCTTCCCACCCCCTACCACTTTTTATGTGTTTTATTGCAGAAACGTTCTAGAGATGATATCGAAGGTATTAAATGATAAAATAATGCCAGTGCTTCGCGTTTCTCTGCAACTGCCTATTGGTCCTCTTCGTCACCCTCTTCCTCTTCTTCCACCTCCATCTCTCCAACTTCCTCTTCCTCGGCATCTAACTCCTTCTCCCGCATTGCCGAGCGCACTGCCGCTTCTGTTTCCGGTTTCGGGTCTTCCACTTCAATTACTTCCTTTCCGGTCGGGAACTCTGGCAATGGTGGGTCGGGGATGGCAGGTTCGAAACAGCTGCCAAGGTTTTTATGTCCCCAGCCAATATATACGTTCTCAAAAAACCTGTGAAATAATTACAGTTGTATGATGGAAAATGCAAGGTAAGGCTTCAAAAAAGGATTAGTTGAATAACTAGCTGTGTATTTAATGGTAAATGCCATATAAAACAAAAAAAATGAAGATGACAAGTTCTTCTTGGATGGTTTATGCACCTTACCCGAGCTGACATTGTCTGCATTTCAATGTGCGAAGAGATTTAGGTTCCAAAGATATTTTGACTGTTTTGGAAGGGCTTTTTTCCCCCGGGTCGTAACTTTGTAGTCATACATTCCTATTTTTTCAGTTGGTCTGATCTCATGTTTCATCAGCACACTGATTTGCTTTAAACCTATATATCAGTGCCCTAATATATGAATGTATATTGCTATTACTGTTGAAGTCGTCGACATGGTTGGCATTGCAACACTGAGTGGTATGACAACCCCTTCAACGTATGCAGGGGCGGTGGGGTAGTGGTTAAAGCGTTCGCTCGTCACACCGAAGACCCGGGTTCGATTCCCGACATGGGTACAATGTGTGAAGCCCATTTCCAGTGTGCCCCGCCGTGATATTGCTGGAATATTGCTAAAAGCGGCCTAAAACCATGCTCACTCACTCAACGTATGCGGGTAAATACAGTTTTAGGGCATACAATCAGGCAACAGGCAAGACCTGAGAGTAGTGTCAAAATCACTCGAAAGTTTAATGACAGGTGACAAGTCTTAACAATACTTTACTTCAATCCGATTCGCCAACTTACGACACCCCATGTTGTAGCGAGCATATGTTTCGCCTGATAAAGCATTCCCTCCATTTGATCTAATTTAATGTTAAGATCATCTATTGTGGCATTGACACTGCAATTGGCTGTGCCGAGCTGAGTCCCTTAGCCTGGCCAAGAACCACTGGTCGTGGGTACGATTTTCCAGATTCACCCTGATAATGATCCTTGTGTGGCACCATTCTCATGCACACGGGTTTCACCAAAGCGGTAAACAACGACGCCATGAGTCAACTTGGGTTTTACTCCCACATAAGCTGACACGCCCTTATGTAACTGAACTGCTTTTGTCAAAGTGGCTTTAACCCTGACTCCCTCACTCACCACTGATCGCCTATTAGTACTCACCTTCCTTTATCGGAAGCAAAGGCATACGCTCCTGGCCATGTGTTCGAGTGGAGAATAGCTACTGAATATTCTGGGACAAACTGCGATGACGCCTTGGCAATCCAAGCCGGACTCTTCCCAACCTCTTCAAATAAAACCAAGATTATAGTATGCTGTTTGTTTGTGTTTAAACATCACACTTCGCAATATTCTAGCTACATGACGACGGCTTGTAAGTAATCGAGCCTGGACAAGACATTCCAGTGATCGATTTTGTGAGCAACGATCCACGCCATTCTGGTTCAGTGACACTCAATCAACAAAGTCACCGGGCCTGACCACCCGATCCATTTGGTCGCCTCTAACGACAAGCATAAGTTGCTGGGAACCTATTCTAACCCTGAATCTCTACGGGGTTATAGTATACATAATCTGACGAATATGTATCAGTATCATGTTTATTAATATTGAATCATACACCTAAGGTATACTACAATATATCTATTAACTTAAAACTGATACATATTCGTGAGATATTCTCTGAAAACAGTTACTATTGATGAATCAGAAACCATACATCTGCATATTGGTACATCTTGTCGCATAAAATGGCTACGGATGAAAAAGGATCCCCACTCACGGGCATCCTCTGACAGTGGAGTCAATAATGGCGGACCATGTTCCGGTTCCGGTTCATCGGGCTCGTTCCTTTCCTCCTCTTCCTCGTTCTCTTCCTCCCCCTCGTGCCCCTGCAGAGGGTTGTACCACGTAATCCGACCCTGTTGTCACAAGCACCAGTGTCTTAGAAAGTGAAAAGCAACAAACAACAAGGCACAAAGTGAGCAAGGCTCGCTGATACCCCCTACCTCGACTCCCAACATATTTCTAAGTTCAAAACATGTAAAAATTCGTATTTTCTCAGAAAAAGCCACATATCTATATCAAGACTTTGCACTGCACCTCCTTTATTAGTATGGCAACTGTTCCCTAAATTTGAAAAGAATCAGCAGCACAAATGTATAAGTTCAAACATTCTTAATCAAAAAATGAAAAAAAGCTTTATTATCCAAATATTGAAATCAAACTTCGCACTGCATCTCTTCTATTGGTATAGAAAGTGTTCCCCAAGTTTGAAAAGAAATCTATGTAGTAGTTTTCAAGTTTTATGTCGCAAAAAGAAACCATTCCTTGGTATAACTCCATAGCCCGCCCTTTTAGGTCGGAAGTATACGATATTACACACACACACACACACACACACACACACACACACACACACACACACACACACATGAACATATGAAAGAAAACAAAAGGAAGACCTTCTACCTGTGGTAAGACAAAGGGTGTGTGATGAACCCAAGTAGCCATTCCTGGATCAGTTAGGTCTCGCATGCTCAGTCCCTCAAAGTCCTGATCTTCCACGAACCCTTCCCTGCCTGAAGAAAAAGAAAACACTGGCGCACTGTTATTTCCTGTTAACATAGACGCTATGTGAAGACAAAACACATCGAAGCAAATCAGCAAAGATATGCTGTTTTTGTTATTCTACTTTTCTCGAAAATGTAGAAATACAGGTAGAATTTCGTTGTTCGTATTCATACGGAAGAGGAAATGAAATGGCATCAACTTTGTTGTAATATCAATTACATATATCCCCCAAGTATATTTTTTTCATTTAAGATAAGATAATTTGAACAAGAAAAATCGTTTTCATTACACCCCGCCATGGGGCAAATTAGAATTGTGTTTGTTCATATAGTAGTGAATACAAACCATAAAAAAAGAGTCCTATAAGGCCAAAGAAAAGGAAGGCACTTGGGCAGCTTTATGTCATTAGAAATGATTAAATGTGAATTTAATACATACTTAAGGTCCCTTCTCCGGAAAAACATAAATCAGTTTTGATAAGTATCTTTAATTGGTTGGTTTGTTGTTTAACGCCGCACTCAGCAATACTCCATCTATATGACGGCGGTCTGTAAATAATCGAGTCTGGACCAGACAATCCAATGATCCAATTGGGATCGATGACATGCATCAAGCCATCAACCAAGTCAGCGAGCCTGACCACCCGATCCCGTTAGTCGTCTCTTACGACAAGCATAGTCGCCTATTACGGCAAGCATGGGTTGCGGAAGACCAATTCTACCCCGGATCTTCACGGGTAAGTGTCTCTTCAGTAGTTTCTCAGAAAACTTGTCCACATAGCAGACACTATGCACCAAGTAAAATAACATGGATCAAGGGATGTAACTCTCTAAAAAGTAACTTGCAGGACCAATTGTCGAACTCAACTTGACAAGTATCTCTTAGATAAGCATGAGACCATTTATTCTTGCTATTTCAGTAGTTTCTGAGAACACTTGTCCCCATTGCACACGCAATGCACCAATTAAAATAACAAAGGACGAAACTCTTGTGAAAAATAATTTACGGGACCAATTTTCGAACTCAGTCTTGACAAGTATCTCTTAGAGAAGCATGCAAACTTTCATTCATGTAACTTCAGTTACTGTAGTTTCTGAGAAGTACTTGCCCCGATTTTACGCAGTATGCACTAAGATGAAAAGCACGGAACAAGGGCCATAACTCTGTAAAACAATCATTTACGACACCAACTGTCGAACGCAATCCTGACATGTATCTCTCAGATATGCATGCAAACTTTCATTCATGTTACGTTAGTAGTTTCAGAGAAAACTTGTCCCCATTTCACGCAGTATGCACAAGTTGAAAAGCATGGAGCAAGGGCCATAAAAAAAATATGAATTTACGACACAAATTTTCGAACCCATTGGAGATCATGACCAGTAACATCCGTGTGTAAAATTTCATCCTCTGACTTTATGGTTTTGGAGAAAAAGGACGGGAGGACGGACGGGCGAACTCCGTTCCTATATCAAGATGTAGGGCGGGGGATGATAATAACTCCACAGGTCTGTATCAAATATTGAAAGATGTATTCTTACTACCCTCCGCCGGCTCCCCCTCTTCTTCCTCCTCCCCCTCCTCGTCAAACTTAAAGAATCCAATAGGGGAGACATGCGTTGTGGCGCTGATCCGGGCAATCTGCGCGCGAAGGTAGTTCTTTTCAAGGCCTGGAAATGGTGGATACGTCACCATCTTAAAAGTAAATATGTTACGTCTTACTCGTAAGCGTAAATTATAGGTTTGTCATTCCACATCGACAATCCTACTTTTTCAATTCAAAACAGGCAGTGATTTCCTTATCTGGAACAGTTGACATACTGTAAGCAATTTAATATATTAAGTAAAGTAATATTAAATATAATATAAAAAATAAAGACTAAGTAAAAATATGATCACCATGTGCAGATATATCAGAATATGAAAGACCTGGGCGCAATAGCTATCCATTAGGTTAACAGATAGATGGAACAGTCAACGAATTTGTTTCATGTTGCACTTTGAACTGTCACGTCAGTGCAAGCGCAACTGGCCCACCATACGGCTAGTAATGACGCTGGTACACATACAAGATTGTTTGTTGTTTAACGTCGCAGGTAGCAGTATTTCAGCTATATGACGGTGGACTGTGGACGGTGATCGAGTCTCGACCAAACAATCCTAAGATGGCATCATGAGCATCGATCGCAATTGGGATACGATGACATGCATCAACCAAGTCACCACGTCTTACTACACAATCTACTTCGTATCCTCTTACGATAATACAGTGGAATGCTAACTTACCTGATGGTTTGGATATCCAGTGAAGTACTTCCGAAGTTTTCTGGCGGCTACAATTTGTTCAGGTGTGACATGGGGTAAACGATACCACGGCTGACAGGCTGAGTCAAAATATAAAAAAATATATCCGTGAATGATTTAGGAATTGGACCCACTGCATTAAAAGAAGCGTTTTAGCACTCTAAACATCACAAAGGTGTCTATTTATCAATAAATCATCCATGTTGTTTACAAAGGGGCTGTCTAAAACCGAAAACAACGTTAGTATTACATCAATAAGATACAAGCTCAACACATTATTTAGTTATTCGAGATAATGATCATGGCTATTGCTATCGCATCCCATTTTATTATATTCAAAATTAGCAGAATTTGTTTATGTGAAGACAGAGTTGACTTACGTATTTCAACTCCTTTAGTCTTTCAATGCGACGTTTTGGTACAGATGCCAGAGCAAATATAACACGTGTAACACTTGCTTTATAAAAGATACTGGCATCTGTACACAAACATCACATTAAAAGAAAAAAGAAGATGAAATTCGTATATCAACTCTGTCTTCTGCAACTTCAAGATATAAAACTTGTATTTGAGACCTCCACTCACGTTCTGAGCACACGAAGTACACCTTTTTGTTCAAGCCTGTCCCTGCTGTCTCACAGGGGATTTTCCGTGGGGGCTTGAAGAGCGGCTTCATGGACAATATGGTTGTGGTTTCTGCATAAAAGACATAAGGTATATGGTAAATGAAATGACAAGTGTCTTTTGCTGCTCTTAACATATCAGAGTATAAGTAAATAACCTAATTCCTTTTATATATACAAGTATGATTCATATTTAAATTCATGCTTCAATGCGTATATCCTGAACAGTTAAGTAATTGGAACTACTTATATTTCGAAAATATGTAAATACTTACCGTCAAAAAGGCTATCCTCCTGAAACACAGAAACACAAACTGATCCTACATGTACACTTTGTTACCATGAAACGGCATTAGGTATTAATGTGTCCAGCCTCATTAGTTGGTAAACTACTTAATCATAAAATACCACATTACCGCCTCCTTGGTCAAGTGGAAAGAACGTCTGCCTGGAGAGATGAAGGTCGTGGGTTCGATCCCAAGCCGCGTAATACCAAAATACGTAAAAAGAGGGTACTTGTTGTTACCCTGTCAGGTGCTCAGCATTAAGATCTAAAACAAGGACTGGTCGGCTCGGAGTCAGTACAATGTGTCTGAGTGGGGTATTCATGTTAAACTTTGGCATGGTATCTCAGTGGGCCAGTACTATAACATCGGTATGAGTCCGTGCACACACGTGCAATTTTGAACGTGACGTTAAACCCCACTTCAAAACTTGGTGAAGTCGCATATTGAAGGACAAACTCGCTCCTTTACATTGGTATTTCTTTCCTCAATTCTCGCAGAATTTGAAGTTTATTGTGACTCTTTATGTCCACGATTCACCTACCCTCTCCTCTGCCGGATCGTCGTCTTCCTCTTCCTCCTCATCACTGATGTCGGTTTCATACTCCCCCTCCGGGAATTCCGCCTCCGCCACATAGTAGTTTTGCTTCAGTCCCAGAACCTTGCCCCAGAATCGGACGGTCTGTATCGGCCAGACCTTCACCAGCTCCCTCAGAGACAGAGCTATACGCGTGTACTCCTCCATCGACAGGCCAACACCGGCCATCTAGGGAAGCAATGAACGCAAGACACAACTTTGAGAACACTTCAGCAATATCACAGGTGAAGAGATAGAAATGGACTTCACGGATTTTCTCCATGAGGAAAATCGGCGTGACGTGCGTTGGCTTTAGCTGCTCCAATCCATCAACTAAATACGAAAGGGTTACTGAGGATATAAGTCGGGTCGAGTCATAACTCAATCAGTAAAAACGGTATTCGATAGCTCTGGAAGATCTCTTTTCCTTGATACATTTTATGAAACTAAAAACAAAATTACTCTTACAACGAATGTGAGGAATAGGCATACTGCAAATCGTATTTATATACAAATGTTGGTCGTGAACGCAAAGGTACCTAAAAGACACATGCCAAGAGTGCTCAAGAATGACATTGCAGAAGAACAAAGTTGTGTGACAAGGTTATTTACACGGCAGTTTGTGAAAAGCATAAGGATATTTGAGTAATAAAATTCATCATTGATTCATCCGAAGTAACAAACCTCCCAGTAAGAATGTGTTTAAAAATATCTGGACTGGTCTATGAACATTTTAAACAATTTTCCTACAAAGTGATTAATAGATGAATGCATGACAATTTTTTTTGAAACAAACGTCTTTTATTCTTTATCACGACCTTTCAGGACTACTTCTTGCTCCTTCACGAGGTGCAAGAAGTGCTCCGAAAGGTCGTGACAAAGTATAAAAGAAGTTGTATTCCATAAAAAAATGTAATGTATTCATGTTCTTACAACTTCCCAATGCCTAGCAAAGACTTGATTAACAAATAAACAGTGCAAACAAATGACAAACGAGAGGCATTCACAGTTCCTGAATTCTGATAAAGCAGAGAGATGTAAAAGATCTGACTTTAATGAGAATGCTGATACTGGCACTCGCAACTTTTAGACACACAGATAAACTATGAAAACAGAATAGTGGCAAACGTACAGCTGGAGATCAATGTAGCCTCAAAGCAAGCATCTATAAATAAACGGAAACTTCGGGTACATCAGAGAATATGAATGAATATCCAACTTAGGCCACCGACCTGGAAGCAGTGAGCCTGTTTCATGAGGTTCGGAATCGCGGTGTATCTCTCATCTTCCTGAAGGCTCTCCTCCGGAAAATCATGGAGTCGGTTCATCTCCTCATTGCTGATTTTCTGCAAGGCATGCATGCATTTCAAGCCATATCTTCGCAATCAAATTGCCCAAACATCCATGATAATATATGTCACTGTATCTAAACTACGCATCAACAAAATATTTTCAGCACTGCATACAACTGTACATAGCACTATAACCGCTTTGCCAAAATGGCAAACATCTACGCCATGCTTTCTTTGTTTGTTTATTGTTTAACGCCGCACTTAGCAATATTCCAGCTATATGACGGCGGTCTGTAAATAATAAAGTCTGGACCAGACAATCCTGTGACTGACGTCATGAGCATCGATCAACGCAATTGGGCTGATACGCCGTGACTTAATCGCAACCAGCTCTATTATGGCCTTGTTCTTTAAGACCGTTGTACCTTTATCTTCCTGAATGGTCCTGCTAAAATAGATGCAGATAAAATGATGCATGAGATGCCAAATTCATGCCAGTAGTAAACAAGCAGTCAATATATCTACATCTGAATCAAGAAATATGAACGACACAGAATTATTGAAGTTTACTTACGTGGAACTGCCTCTGCTCAACCTTGGCAAGGTGGTAGCTTGGCGAAGGGGTTGGAATAGACCTTACTGTACTCTGTGTGACCTTCACTTTGTCCCTCTTCAACTGCAGACTAAGCTTCTCAAGGTGGTCGACGAAGTTCTTCGGTTGATGCTCCAAGGCACCCGACAGTAACACTGCCAGGTGATCGTACCTTGATGTTATCAATAATGCGAATCAATACAGGTGGACACTGTTTATCCGAAATATCTTCCTGAAACCTGACTAGTCACACTGACTACTCCTATCGGTCAAGCTATCGGCTGTATATTTGAAATATCACAGCTTCAATGTGCATGTACCGATGTCTTTCATTTGCCTTGATGCTCCCTTGGTTGTAAAACAATGCTAAGATGTTTGTTGAATGAGAAAGGAATCATTGTTATTGAAAAACGGGTGTATTGTTGCCTACAAAGATTGTGTTGTAAGTGAGACTAAATTATATTTTATTTTGTTTCAGATCCACCAATAGGAGTCGAATTATCTCAGCCGAGTTTGGCAGCGATCTACAGTGTCCTGGGCAGGACGACGAACTGCATGATCGCACATCGTAAACATCCTATACCAACTGTGTCCTTTAGACGGGCTTCTAATAGACGCCGGCCTCTAATAGAAGCCGGGTCAATTGTTCAGTGCAAAAAATAGAAGCCGGAGTCGATCAATTGATACGATTAATGATCCCTGGGTATGGGGGTATGGGGGTATGGGGGTATTAATAGAAGCCGGGCCTCCAATAGACGCCGGGCCTCTAATTGACGCCGGGTCAAAGGCTTGTCCGAAATAAATAGAAGCCCGGGCGTCTAATAGAGGAAATACGGTATATCACTATGCCTGACCATTCCTGAAATATACAGGCCTTTTGATTTCGGGGGTCACTCGTGGCAACATAAATATTTCCAGGGAAAGAAGTATTTGATGCGGAAGTAAAATCCAGTCCAATAACACGATAAACAAGCGACGTTACTCTGCTGTCTCTACTGCAGTTACCCTTCAAATAACATGCAGACTCCGTCAAGCATCTTTTTCCAACAGATGTGGCACCCGCGTAGCGGATTCGTACAAAAGTTTGACTGAAAATACCAGTTTTGTGATGTTTCCTGTCCGAATAAAAATATTTGCTCCATAGTATCAAATAATTTGGTGACCGTCGACATGACCCTGTAGTGGCGGTAACAACAGATGATTTTAACGTATCACAACAATAATGCGTGCGAAACATGCTTGAATGAGCCTAGGTCACTTTAATATCTAGCCTGGTAATGTCTCAAAGACATGTCAAAATACTAAAGTGAGTTTTGAATTGAAGTATGATTTATATATTTTATATTAGTATATGAAAACGTAACATTATACAAGAACGGTTGACTTAAACACCTTCCGAGAAGTACATCAGATGTGCAGGCGTCGGAATATCCTTGTTTAATGTATGTCATCGTAGTATTTAAAATCAATAACGATAGGTGGACTGACATCGCCCAATAACCACACGAGAGTTCTAGACAAAACCGATACTGTTGGTACAACCAGAGGTGAAGGATGGCCAAGGTTCATGCATGCAGGAAGCATGTTTGACACGCCGTTGTGAGAAGTTAAATCGTCAGTTCTTACGAAAAGATTATTATTCTATCTCACGACTGGTGTAAGTGTGTGAGTGAGAATGGTTTTACCCCGCGTTCAGCAATAGCACAGCCGGGGACACCAGAAATGGGCTTCACACATGTACATTGTACCCATGTGGAGAATCGAACCCGGGTCTTCGGCGTGACGCCCGAACCATTTAACCACTAGGCTACCCCACCTCCCTTCTGGTATAAGTTAGGTCAATGATTATTATTCGACAAAAAACAATTTTCGTTGCGTGATTGTGTGTTTCATGGGCAATAATTGTGAAAAGCCGTGTGCCAAAATGATGGTTGAGGGAATATAACCCATCGACTATGCCAACACCAACTGATGGTATATAAACTAATTGTATGAATACAATTTACCTGATTTCACAATTTCACACCCAATCTCCTTCAGGTAACTTTGGGTAAACATAGAAACATGCAATATGTTTATAACATATATGTGTTGGTTTCCGAAACGGTTACGACCATACAAATGCGTGTATCGCGGGTAACAGCTTTTGTGAAATAGCTATCAAGCGAGTCGGGCGTTGCTATGATTTCGCCTATTACGTTTAAGGTTTATGACGCACGAAGTCCCTGGATGGGGCAAAAGGAAATCCGTTTAAAGACATAAAGCAAAGAAAACTTATGAAGGAAAGACATGCAACAGTAACGAAAATATATAGGCTTAAAATGATCATTTCTAAAGAATGTACAGTAAATGATATTTAAAGTGTTTCCTAGTAGGTTCTAGGATTTATCCTCGTTAAATCGTTCACTGCACATGCTTGGATTGTTTGAAAAATATGTAATTATGTAGACAAAAATGTATATGTAAATGTTGTATTTTGGGATAACACTTTCCCAGTTAAGTAAAACTTCTAGTACTTTCTTGTAGCATATTCGTGCACAAAGTACGTGATCTAGACGACCTGTTGTCTGACTTTCATTATTGTGGAATCTAAGAGTGTGGGTTCGAATCGCGGACGGGACCACACTCCCCCCCGCGACCCCCCCCCCCCCCCCCCCCCCCCCCACCACCACCACCAAAAAAATATACTATAATTTGTACTTTACAAAGAAAGTGTAATCCCAAATACATTTATTACATTTGACCTCTTTCTAAAAGGTATTGGGTATCCAAAAATGTATATTTTGTGGCGCATACTGTCTCAAACAAAATAGATAAGTTTTATATAGCCTTCCTGCTGAAAACAGCAAAAGGAGATTTCGAACAAAATAGTATTTGATGGCAGGAAACCTTTGGCATGTTAACGATTGTTTAGATTTTGCCTGCTTATTCTCATTTATTACCTGTAACAATCTAGCAATTAAAGACAATGTCTCAGCTTCAAAAAGAGGAGACCGTTATTCTATTTCGAGTGGCAATAGGAACCAGTTTCTAGAGCATATACCCTCAGTACGTCCACAGGTGTGGGATATTTCTGTCAAATTCACGTTTCTGAAATTTATGGGAGAATGCGGATCCTGAATTCCACAATATATAAGAGTTCTTAATTCGGGATTACTGAGAGACATTTATTGAAAATATTCCCGCCCTATAAGAATAATGCTTTCTTTGTTAGTTTCAGAATGTATACAATACTACGTCTGCTGTTATAACTAGCCTTGTGTTACATTGCACACAATAACGCAGTCTAATCTTCCACTTCTGAAAATATCTCAGCATGAGATGGAGGTGTACTGTAAAATGTGGCATATCATTACAAAGAAGCAATAAAGAGTCTTAAGTTATATTTTGCATTAATAAATCCGGCACAGATACATGTATATGTAAATACATAAATGTAGCATATTCTATTTTAACAACAACTGTTTTGCTATCATAAGGGGCGGTCGGGTAGCCTTGTGGTTAAAGCGTTCGCTCGTCACGCCGAAGACCCGGGTTCGATTCCCGACATGGGTACAATGTGTGAAGCCCATTTCTGGTGTCCCCCGACGTGATATTGCTGAAAGCGGCGTAAAACCATACTCACTCACTCATTGTTATCAAAAGTAATAAAAAAGAACTAATTACTTAACCAATTTCCATTGCCTTTGTTAACTTTCATAACTCATGGCATTACAGTTGTTGTATGGTATGGACAATTGGTGGTGTTCTAAGGTAAATATATAAGATAATTTTTCTGTCTGTTTCTACTAAGGATCCACGTGTAAATTCCTGAGTAGAATAGACTTTTGTTGATCGGGTGCCCTGTTCAGACTCAGTTATATATGCAGGCGGTCGTGATAAAGCTAGAATATTTCTCAAATGGACAGGAAATAATCAAGTTTGGTCCAGACAAACTTGTAGCTTATGTAAAAAAGTAAAACAAATGTAATTAAAGACAAGGCATCTACTACTATGTGCTGCTAAGGAGATTCCAACAAACAAGATTGATAATCAAAATTTGCTGTGACCTCGGCTTACTTACTTACAAGCATACCCGTGAAGATCCGGGTTAGAATAGGCTTTCAGCAACCCATGATTTGCCGTAAGAGGCGACTAACGGGATCGGTTAATCAGGCTCGCTGACTTGGTTGATGTATGTCATCGCATCCCAATTGCATAGATCGATGCCCATGATGTATATAAATGGATTGTCTGGCCCAGACACGATTAATTACCGACCACAGTCATATAGCTGGAATATTGTTGAGTGCGGCGTTAAACAACAAACAACAACAACTTACAGGGACGTGCCTTCGTCTGTGGTTTGTGTCAGGAGGTGCATCTTGGCATTCAGGCAGTTTCTCTCCTCCTCTGTCATGGCCGGAAGAGATTCCTCTTCATTCTCATCTTCTGATGGACGTTTGGGAACATCTCTCATTCCCTTGATGACTTTCTTCTCGCTCCCTCCAGCCATACTGACTCACGATATAATCTAATTGTTATAATAACGATGTTTACGTCATAAAGTTACTTGTTCAAATGAAAACTAGTCTGGCGTATCAAGATAGAGTGTTGTGATGGCAACGCGATATACCTAGAGGTACTTCGTCAATAGCAACTCACAGTTCCGTATTTCAGTTCAGAATTTCCTATCCTAGGTAACAAGAGTTTACCAATGATACATTGGGATAATTTGAAAGTAAACCAAGGTAAGTAAATGCTAGACACAACACATACTGACGCACAAATCAAGGCACTGTATCCACACAGTCCCGTTTTGTCCACGGCTCCTAGTAACCAACGCTCTCTCGTATCTTAATCAAATTAGGACTTGCACTGTACTACGAACGTAGAACTCTCATAAAGAATTTACACGAAAACAATTAGATATCAGGGATTTTAATCTCAACTGGCTCGCAACACGAACGCTACCGGCTCGATTAATGTTTGAATTATTTAAGGGTCGTTAAGCAATAGTGAGTTGGCCCTACACTGCCATTGTGTGGATAAAGATAGCATCTCAGATAATGTTAATAAATAGGTGTGTGCTTGACGTGGGCTAGGTATATCATATGTAGTTACCTTACAATCGAAACCGTGCTCAGTAGTCGTTGAGGATATATCAGAATACAAGGTATTTCTATGGGGGGGATGACTGTTCAACAGGATATAACATTTTCAAAACCACATTCACACAATATCGAAATACCTCTTTCTTATGTTTTTAACAATTCCTAAGCCTTCATTAAGGTTGTCCAGTTAAAAGGATGACAAACTCTACCACAAAACATCTATCAATTTAATAGGAAGAATTGATAAATACAACCTTCATGAGATTTTCCTGAGGAGGTGTATGTAATGTCCTTTGTAGGTAATTCTAAGAAATGCAATTATTTTATGTCACTTGTCCATTTCACAATACTCCTTTTGACAGCTAACACAAAATAGGGATAGGGCTTGCAGCACATATGAACGTCAGGATATATCCAACATAATAAACTGTCAGGCAAAAGAAAATATACACTTGAAAATTAGATTTTACCAAAATGTTACAAACGTAATTCAAACGTTACTAGGCTGCAAACAGTCGCCGAAACTGCGACGGTAAGGTTCAAAACACAACTATTATAAGCGTTTCAAATACATCAGCATCAAATAACCATTTCTTGTTTGTGTCGTGTGTAGCAACCATCAATCACCGGTGTTGAATCCTGTTTATTTATATTTTTTTATAAAAATGAGCTTGTACCTACTGTGTAGATAGAATGATGAAATGTAGATGACGTAACATTGTTTTATGACACTGTAATGGGCCTTCAAAGAAAACTTAATGTGTTAAAAGGTTTTTGTAACAAATAGGGCCTAGAAGTTAACTTGGAGAAGTCATGTATTGTTGTTTTCAGAAATGGCGGAGTCCTAAGAAAAACTTAAAAATATGAGTGAGTGAGTTGGGTTGAACGCCGCTTTTAACAGTATTCCAGTGTCACATTAATGTGGGAGGAAAGCCCGAAGTGATGCAGGTGACAGACGTTTACCACTGCGGTGAAACCCACGAGCACGGGTATGGTGCTGACATACCTAGAAACATAATCGGGGCGAACCGGGATTCGAACCCACAATCATAGGTTTCTGGCGTGTCCAAGGGACGCAACTCTGCACAGCGAATCGCGGCGCCTTAGACGACTGGGCCACCAATGCCCCCTGAAAAATATGAAAGAAGTATCCCACTATAAATATCTAGGTATTGTCTTCACACCCAGCACTACATTAGCACTACAAACCAGAAAGGCTTTGTTTCCTATTATTGCTTTATTAAAGGATTATCCAAACATTTCTCTAAAGGTAGCATCTATAATAGTTGACAGTAAAATAGCTTCCATATTGTTATATGGTTTGGAAATTTGGGGTTACACTCCTCGTGCAAAAGTTTATCTCATGTATTGAACTCTTGGCCATGCTGCCTTTTGATGCCGAATACATTTCTTCTTCTTCTTGTATAAATTTCTTTTGCCAAGCAATTTACATTACATTCTAAATTATTTGGTCACATTGAAGCCGCTGCGACCATGTTTGAAATTTTGGTAGGAATATAGTAACTAAATAAAAGGAGTTTTTGCAGCTTAATTACCGAAATTCAGGGGATATGAGGGTCATTAGGGTTTAAAGATGAAAATGAGCATAAAATGTGCCATATCTTTCAACAGAGACATATACACTTGACACCATTACATATTCATTAATAAATAGTTGAATCATTTAACAATGACTACCTTTGGAGTCCAAACTACACATCAAATGCCTGGACATAACTATTTATAAGCTAGATAATTGGAAATACGTTAGGGACAAATGAGAAATTGCAGGGTACAATTCCTCTGAATAACTCAGTCTGCGAAATAAGCCTGAGTCTGAGTCTAGTAAAATTAGTTAGATCAGCTTATAGATACTATAGTGCATAACGAAGACTAATATCGACTGAAGATAATACCAAAATACAAGGTCCAGTTCGCAGATTCGGAAGTTTTGGGTGATGCCTCCTATGGTCACTGCACATACTACATTCTTACTGGATATCACACTTTACATCAAAACTTGCAGACGAATAACAGACGATGACATAAGCTCATGTGAATCTGAATCATGTAAGCTAAACTGTTGTCAAATGTGCAAATAGAGAGTCATTAGGCGTCAACAATAATACTCTTCAGTTTGGCTGAATCTATTGCAAAAAACCTGTAAATTTCGATAAGAATGTATTTTCAACCTTGAAACACCACATTAAAATGTTTATAGAGTTTTCAGAGCGTATCCTATAGTTTCGTCCGTGGGCCTCCATCTAGCTCCATGAAACCTATTTGGGTGTCCCCAACATCAAACTGAATCGGCTCTGTTCAGCTAACAGTGGCGTGTTGTTTGGGCGGAACACAAAATCTCCTAGAACATAAAAGAAAATACCTTCATAAAGCGAGGTTACAAATATCAAATAATGTTCTTCGAAAAAGCTTGTCTTCGTCGATTTTAACATCTCACCGCCAATTATCTTTGAGTCATTTATCAAGGGTGTTAGTAATATGTTTTAGTCGTTCAACCCAACATTACTTGCAAGGGATCGTGGACAATAATAGGCATGATACATTGACTATCATATTGTAACCATGAGGGAATCGAACCAGGCTTTTATGCTTACTAACACACTGGCATCACCTCGCTCCATAAGTAGAAGTTATTCTAAAACTGTACGTTGTCTCTTGCTGAAAAATGTTTTTTGTTTACTGAATAATAGAAACTCACTTTCGGGGGGTGACGGTGCCCTGGAGCCTTGATTCGAGATATTCTGTCCACGCAAAACATCTGAAGAAGAAAGCGAAAACGGTTTCTAGTAGAATTTTAGCATTTGATATATTTCATGGTACTCGGGCACGGCCGTAACTGCGATTGCACAAAATACGTAAAACTCCAAAAACTCCAAATGCTTCTTAGACACACTACTTGGCTAATAGTTAAAAACTGAGAGCCAAAAGAAACTTTACCAACATTAACTGATTTGCCACTTTGAAACAAAGATGCCAATCTGTTCAAAAACAGTAAAGAACACATCTCACGAATACAGCCTTCATGTTCTCTGTCGTTCTTACGGTGACGTCATCAGCTGCCAACAGCTTAGGACATCCGTTCAGTGACAGTGACCAGACGACTACGACATTATGGTCTCCGTGCTTATCGCCCTTTCAATGGCATGACCTTGACCCGTCAACATCGACGTGCCAGATTGACGTGGTGCAGGCAAACTCAGCGATGGCAACAAAGGGAATGGCGGCGAGTGCTGTTTAGTGACGAGAGCAGGTTCCAACTCTTCAAACCTGACGGGCGGACGCGAGTTTATCGACGACGTGGTGAACGTACGGCTCCTTGTTGTGTCCAGGAGGTGGAACCTTACGGGGGCGGACGTGTGATGGTCTGGGGCGGCATTTGCGGGGACGAGAAGACGGAACTTGTCAGCATCGAAGGCAATCTGACAGCACAACGCTACACTGACAATATCTTACGGCCAGTGGTTCTTCCTTTCATCCAGCGACAACAACGGACGGTGTTCCAACAAGATAACGCCACACCCCATAAAGCCCGTATTACTGGAGACTTCCTCAACGCCAACAACGTGACCGTCCTGCCGTGGCCAGCTCGATCACCAGATCTGTCACCCATAGAACATCTCTGGGACCAGCTGGGTCGTCGTCTTCGGAAACGTCAACATCCTCCCTTCACGAGACAAGCGTTGATCGTTGCCCTCCGTGAGGAATGGAATCGGATACCTGCAGTCGTTGTGAGGACGCTTGTCTACTCAGTTCGACGCCGCATTCGAAGATGCATTGCCGCTCATGGAGGTCATATCCCGTATTGAACGGTCTGGGCCGCCGTCACCTTAAAGTTGCAACCAATGTTGTTGATCGAATACTGGACGAATGACCCCTTGTCAAGAAATGTCCCTGTTGGAGGTCAAGGACTTTGTTGTTGAATTAGTAAATTCGCATTTTACTGTTCTGAATGATGAATTTCTACAATACAATTGTTATTGCTGCTTCAAATTGTGTTGGTCATATTTTATCCTAGAAATATCGTCGGTAACGTTTCCTTTGGCCGTCAGTTTACTTGGGTCTGTGAGACCTTATTTGATGGGGCTGATGACAATTGGTACACACACGACGGTGAATAACAGCATGATCACCCCTGGGTGTGTGTGTGTGTGTGTGTGTGTGGGGGGGGGGGGGGGGGGGGGGGGGGTCTGAGCCCGTGGGGAGGCATTTGCTATGATATCAGCTCCTACATCATAAAACAATCTGTTCTGTCAGCTCAGACACATCCAAAGTGAAACTGCATTCAAGAGAAATGTAAGCCTACCTGTTTGACCACCTTAAAGAATATTAGAACTTTTTTGTTCAAGCGCCACTCAGCGACTAAAGTGCTGTCAGAAATGCTAGGAAAATGCTTTTCTAACTTCATTTAATAAATACGAATCATAGGGTTATGTAAATAGCACATATCAAAATAACGCAAATGTACCTAATCGAGCCTATTCTAACTAGGATTAGCCTTAAAAGGTACTTTTACAGGTAAAATGATATTCTTAGAAAATATCCGTGTGTTGTCATGCATGTATGAAACAGCCTATAGCCTGAGGTAAGTACAGAGCATTGTCCCCAGGCCCGTGCATTCTCGCCGGTGCAAATGTCACCTGAGTTGGGGGTCTCAAAATATTGCTGTCATTATTGGCTTGAAAAATGATGGAATAGTTAAAACTATGAAACGGAATGAACGTATTGGAAGGTTGGAGTATATGAATCAAGATGTATTACTTTTCTACAAATGAGTTCTTTACCCAGCGTCTGACTCAACTGATGACGTGTCTGAATCTTTACTATCACCCAAAGGTATGATAACTGATGTAATAAGGCAGATATCTACGCGTCACGTTTGGCGGTACTGATGTTCTATTTCAAGAACGTGATCTTTTACCATACCTCTGGTGTGATTCTAGCAAAGGATACGTTGATCAACCCCATGACATGTGTGAGTTGAATGTTTTGTTACGTCTTGCCACGAAGCCTTTACAGTTAGCTCAGATAAGCTCAATAGGTTTGAGCTCACAATGGCTCACAGGCGTACATAAGAAACGCGACCGTATTGTGCCTCCATTAGTTGAACTTTCGTTTCAGATGGTCTGAAATCGACATTGCAAGATTTCAGATATTCCTGCATGGTCGCCTTCAGTTGGTTGGCTGGTTGGTTTGTTGGTTTACGCTGCACTCAGCAATATTCCAGCTATATGACGGCGGTCTGTAAATAATCGAGTCTGGACCAGACAATCCTGTTTGATATCATGAGCATCGATCCACGCAATTGGGATCGATGACATGCATCAACCAAGTCAGCCAGCCTGACCACCCGATCCCGTTAGTCGCCTTTTACGACAAGCAGAGTCGCCTTTTATGGCAAGTATGGGTTGCTGAAGACCGGATCTTCACTGGTGTGTTTAGATTAGATTGGGCAGTAGCTGGTGTTCCAACAAGTCTATAAACACACACACATTTCCTTATGATAATCATAAGTTGTCCTTTTCGACGTGAAAACTAGCTCGCATCCATCAATAAGCCCTAGATCATGGGTAAAATACAATAATCTGAATCTTTCTCCTGTAATATTGTCGATTGGACTCCTTGTGACGAAAATACTTCAAACCGCAGGTAGGTAGATCGGTAGTTACTTCAGCCTGTGAAACATTCTATTTTGTTTTAACGGGCAAAAATATTTTTTCTAGCATTTCCGACAGTAATATTTGGGTTTTTTTAACAGATGGGACTTGGTTTTCACTAGCTGATTATAACTGTATGTCTTCACCACGTACACGTACCCGGATTAACCATTATTTACCATGATTAGGCTCATCTTCCCGAGGCAAGAGCGTCCACTAGCCTCTTTATCAAAGTCTTGTTTCCACAACCAGGCTTTGATATAGGCTAGTGGACACGCTTGCGTCAGGAAGATTGATTAGGCTGTAAATGTGAAAAAAAACGTTCGCTAGCCAACCTTTCAAATGTGACACCATGTATGTGATGAATAACGACCTACCTCCAGTGGTAAGGTTCATGGTGAAGTTTTGTAATCTGTTGGCTGTCTGATCAATCATGGACGCATCCCCGCAACCGTTGAAGGTAGCAGGTGTGATGCACCGTCGCCGGAGTGATTCGTACAACGACTGAATACACAAGATACTGACTATATTGACATGTATACACATACATGTCTAAACCTTATCCTAATACTACAAATTTCTAACTCAAATGATCCATGTCAAATACATTTATATATCATGTCATCTGGAATTATACATGCACAATTTCATTATTACTAATCTTGCTGGTGAAATGACCTTGTAAAGACTGAATGAGGGAGGCCTGCCCTTTTCTACATTCATGGAAACATATCCGCAAGGGATCATTACTTCGAGATTTACTTATTTGCACCTTGGATGTTTTGCTTATAAGGGAACCTGTCGATGAAATACAACCTGCAGTTTCTGGTACTGTCTGCTTCTCTCAGATAATCTCTCCGCCAACTCACTGTGCTTCTTCTTCATACTGTCCAGGTCCTTCTTGGCCACTGGAACACGTTTCAATGGACTCCAGTGTCATATTAATTATCTATATTTCGTTACAAAGCGTATAGTCATTATTCAAGTTTACTAGCTATAGATAAGTGTTTGAATGATCAATACCTAAATTAGATTTGATTTCTACCTGCTATTGTCATGCAAGGACAGACTAACATGAGATTTGACAACTCAAGACGACAGTACAACCCACAAAAATTCTAAAATTTAAACTGATTGTTCATCATGCGACATCCAAGGCAAATGACGGTACATCTTGATATCCCATATATGATCGTTTCATTTGATTCATTGTTATGTTGTGATTATCAAGCAAATGTTTTCAGTTTGTCAACATTATTATTTCTAATTATACACTTGTAAGAGAGAATGTAATACACTGTACTCAAACCTTTTAAATGGGATTTCAAGGCAGGGGGTAGTCAAGAAAAATAACGCACACACAGTATCTGAAACGAATGCATTCTATCCACATTCTATACATACAATTATGTTTATGTTAACATCATTGAGAAAGCCTTATGGTTACGACACTTAGTGAACGTAACCTGTCTGACAACTTCGCGTCATGTGCATATTATTAGACATCTATGATGGAAATGAGAAATACATTGATTCCTTCTCGAGACAGGATACTTGTCAACTCAGTTTGAGTTTTTGACACGATTTGTTCATAGTATTGCTGAAGCTGTGAAGACTTTTCCCTGTGTTTGGTCGCTTGGTATTCCTGGTAGATGATTTCTTGGTGGGTCTGAAAGTGTGACGTTCAATGTAAGAAAAGGCGACACAACAAGGGAAGGTTAAAGAACTGGGCTCCGGGTAATTGGCAGTTCTTGCAAGTTAGATTCAAACTATCTCAAATTTGATTATGTATACAAATCTCACATACTCATTACAATGTCTGTTTCACACATGGCACAAATACGTTTTGGCGTAGGTCAGGAAAGGTTAGGGTCAGTTTGTAAGTCGTTAAGATGCGACCATTGATCTTCTTTACCTATTTGGTTGGTTACCTATCTAAAATGGCCATTGCATATTACTAACCGTTTACAAATTGAATTGGCGTCAGGTTTAAGTTAAATATCGGTCGACGAAATGTTTCCTAAACAAGTGTTGCGTCAGTTTCAACCTGGTCTTTTGACTTTGATCCTCCGACATGCTTACAGACTCTACTTGTCAACAGATTTCATCTCTCGATGGTGGAACACCTTCTTTCTGATAAATTGAAAAGCATTACCTTTGTGAGGAAATGTTTATTCTGCACAAAATACAACGTTGAACAATAATTACATAAAACATGAATCATTCATCCGAAATGCAATCCCTAAATATACATAGACGACGAACAATCACAAACTAATTGCGTTGTGCTCCTGGTCATCTGTGAAATCACCAATATCAGCTCCTGCTGACTTTGAAACCCAAGCGTCAGTTCATTTAGGAACATGTTATTGACTCGCCATTAATACACTAATATAACAGAAAGACATTAGTTTGTCCAAAAGATTAGCGTTACTTTTGTCACTATAAATTACAGCCAAATTCAAAGTTTCCCAATTCTATTAAGTGAAATGCAATGCTTTGAATGACAAAATAATCAAACACTATAAGTAGTTTCAAAGTACTTGCTAGTCCCGTCATATCAGAGTTATTTCATCGCGTTAATAAACCCGACAAAAAAACAACAACCTCTACTATCACAAGAAACGCCAAGAAAGTCCTTTGTGCGATTCGAACTACATCATGAGCATGTGTTTATGAATCATTATCAAATAGTGATGATAGCAGGTGTTCGAAAAAAGGTGAGCGCATCCTTCAAAACCGTTGGCACCCGTCACAAACACACGAAAAGGCAAGTTAATTGATCATTATTGTTTAAGACTGGCTAAGCAACAGAATGACATTATCGTCGCATTGAGATCGTAGCGCTGGTAGATGTTACTCACACCAGTGTATTGTGGTGTTACCGGTTACAATATGCTTCAACATTTGCCACACGTGTTATATTCCTAAAAAGACACTGAAAAGAGATAAGGTAGCATATGCTTCCATATTTAAGGTTATTATTGAATACTAGTATTCGGTTCCAAATGAAAATCGGGGCATCGAATACTCATTAACACCATATCAGGTTTTTTCTCTCTCAGAGCATTGTTAATTTCTAATGTGGTATAGAACATATTCTCAGTGACACGAGTTACTTGAAATAACAAAAATGCTAAGACAAAGGTGTTATTCACTAGCCGTAAAGGCAAAAGACACACATATTTATACAACATAAAACGGCACGCCAGAGAATAACCAGTCTCAATGATGTACCGAAACAAAGTCTATTGGAAGTATTTAAAGCAAAATAGCGGTGGGAAATATATGAATGGACCACTGAAAATCAGTGATGACACCAGATGTCCTGACCTACCGGTAGAACACTCAAAGATGTACAATAGATTATCATAGAGTTGGTGTATTTACCTAAAAGCATCAACCAAACCTTCTTACACGCCCACGTGTAAAAACGGTGATTACAAAATCATGACAAAAATGGTCATCATGTCACATCTCTTTTATGAAATGTTTAAACACTCAATGACGTTAATGTGACTTGTGTTACTTGGGCGGGGTCACGGGTGGACCAGTCGTCTAAGGCGCCCCAATTGGGTGTGCAGAGTTGCGTCCCTTGGGTACGCCAGAAACTAATGGTCGTGGGTTCGACCCGATTATGTTTCTAGGTTTGTCAGCACCAGATCCGTGCTCGTGGATTTCACCTGAGACCTGCATCGTGAGACCACAGTAAGCTGACACGCCGTGATATAACTGGAATATTGTTCAAAGGGGCGTTAAACCCAACTCACTCACTCATCTTAGTTGAGCCTCTCTGAAAATCGATTTTCCATGTACTTGTATCACAAAGGGTAACAAGTGTCACATCACATTGTTATCATTTGTGAAATGTTTTAAATCTCCATTGACGAAAATGTGAACATTTTCATGTGTGCCTCTTAGAAAAGCTGTGTTTCTTCCAACGTCACTGAAAGAAAGTGCAAGGACCTTGCACCGTGACAGAATCATTTGATCTAAAATAACAGTACGTAATCCGAGACATGAATCGATTGTGCCTCTCTCCTCGTCAATGTCCAATACAGTACCGCCTGAATCTATCATTTTATATCCAAACCTACTCCTAGATATTTTTCGAAAGTCGTCAGAATCAGTAGCGATGAATACCTTCGTATTCATTTGTGTCCACTGTTGTAAAATCCGTAGTATATTCTGAACATTTTCAGTTCGAGGGTTAGTTCCAAGTTTTACATGTGCACATGTGAGATCTTCGTATCTTCTTACAGAATGACCGTTGAGTGCAAGTATATCTTGCAATGCAATCTGTGCTTGAACTGAAGGTCCCATCAACATATTCCAGTTGTCCTTAAATGAAGAGGATTGTGTTTGTGTTGCCACTTGAGATAACTGTTTCTGGTAAACTGGATTTTGTGTTACGACTCCATGAAAGTCCATTGTTGCTCTGATGAATACAATATCTTGAGAGTAATACATATTGAAGTTTTTCCATCTCAAAATATCCAAAAATGTTGAATTATGAACGTCATTGATGACAAAGAGAGACTTTCCTCGAAGTTCTTCGATATTCGGTATCCAGTTCAACTGATTAGGGAGTAGGAAGTGCTGTAGTTTACACGGTGACGTCATGGACACTTTAAATATCCTGTTAGTTAGATTTGCCAGGAGAAACGTACTGATAATCCCTGCCTGTCGAACTCCCCATCCTCCACAAAGCTTTTGTTTATTACACAGATAGACCAAATACTTGTTTCTGTTAATCAAAGGCTGTGGTGTGGGATTATCATTGCCACCCTGTTTTAATGATCTTTGTACAACATCACCAGAGCTCCCATTTACTTTCTCAGATACTCCATTTATGTGTCGTCTGCCAATCAGTACATCAACAGCCTTTTGGCCCTTGTCCCTAGTTGGAGCGACGTTATTTGTATGCGAACCCTGACTGTCGAGTATCTGTGATAGCCTCAAATTATTCATCCTTGTGTCCACAAGGTCCCTGTTGTACAGCATCACGTGATAGGATAGGATCAGGGAACAGTTGAAGAAAACGAGGATCAGAGCTAACTTTCCCAAGAGGCATGTGGACACCTGCAACACAGAAAGCAGTAATTATAATGAAAAGTTTAACATGCACATACAATCTAAGATTTGTTGTAAGCCCAATCCACGCTACACTGTCATATTGTGTTTAGAATGTGAACATATACAAGTTATGTTTAGATCTAAACATGTTTAGGAATGTGTTCAAATCCAAAACGGAATGTATACACATTTGGTGCGTTCTATCTAAACACGTTTCGGTACATCGTTTTGCAAATGTGGTGGCGACTGTGATCACATTTAATTGTCCCTTGCCAACCAAACATTAGCCATTTAAAGCACATTTCAATAAATACAAATTCTTAAATATTCTGTTGTTGTCATTGCTAGACCCGTGAAGATTCCGGGGTAGAATAGGTCTTCAGCAACCCATGCTTGTCGTAAAAGGCGACTAACGGGATCGGGTGGTCTGGCTCGATGACTTGGTTGATGCATGTCATCGATCCCAATTGCGTGGATCGATGCTCATGATATTAATCACTGGATTGTCTGGTCCAGACTCGATTATTTACAGACCGCCGTCATATAGCGGGAATATTGCTTGACATGCATCAACGAAGTCAGCCAGCCTGACCACCCGATCCCGTTAGTCGCCTCTTACAACAAGCATAGTCGCCTTTTAGGGCAAGCATAGGTTGCTGAAGACCTATTCTACCCCAGATCTTCACCTGTAAAACAGAACTAATATTATATTATATGTTTGATATATGTCTTAAACTTCATGTTGATTATCTTATCGATGTTTATCATGTATCAGTGTAGTGAGTATTGTTTTACGCCGCTCTTAGCAATATTTCAGCAATAATTCGGCCGGAGACACTAGAAATAGGCTTTACACGTTGTACCCATGTGGGGAATCGAACCCGGGTCTTCGGTGTGACGAGCTAACGCTTTAACCCTGTGTATCAGTGTAACTAATCGTGCACACATGATTCGTTGTTTATGTCACAAAAAGATATTATTCTACCAATTAAACATAAAGCTAAGCACGTTCCTTGTCCCATAATTTTGACGCGTTAAGGATCTAAACATTTTTAGAATAGTGTTTATACATTTGTGAAAGAGCCTTATCCTCCCTAAACATGTCTTGTATGTGTTTACATTCTAAACACATGTTGTACAATGTAGTTAGGTCTGATGTCCGCAAACTCTTGGAAGCAAACTTTTAATAAATACATGCATGGCCGGTAGACAATCATGTCAGTATGAAACACAAAACACAACGGATGGGAATATTTTGTGTACATGATTATAGCTATTCAAAAAATGCCGATTCATACTTCAAAATAAAACACATATGAAATCACATAGGAAGATTAAGATTCATATATACAAGGATATTCCATGCAAGGCGTACATTGCACTTGTTTACCCGTTCCCCAATTTAAAGATGTATAAAAGTAATGATACAAAAAGAGTATCATTATATTAGACTGATATTTTCAAAATTGATAAAATGATGTTATTCTATTTATGAAAGGGTGCTTGAACGACTCGTCAGTATGTCGGTGCACTTGAGCGAAAGGGTAGGCCGCCATATGATTAGCAAAACTAATGTGTCTGTATAATAGCTATATAAATAAGGGCGAAAGGGTGTTTCTCATATCAGCAAATACTCATTTCAATACATTCTTTTCTGATGTACTGTTGCGTCACGCGTCATGGCTTCTTAGTCAAACGTTGGACTTTGTATAACCGTATAGAAACTAGTGCGTAATGAATATTCTTAAATCTTATACACACGCATATTTATCTCAGATTTTTCATCTTGTGGTATGACACATATTTTGTTTATAAGTAGTGTTTTGCAGTGTTATATGACTTGTATATGTGAGAAGTTTATGAGATATCAACAGTATGTACAGCCTCTTTAAGGATGTTGATAAAATACCTCGACTCCAACATAAGCAGAAGAACAATTTAGATTTTGGAAATCTATTGATGCCTTAACGTTTGAGCCGGCTTCTCTTAAAAAGCACAATAATATAGAATAGAACTGACATGGTTCAAAGATGCACTAGTATACGGTACACTTGATTTGACATTGATTAATATTTGGACCTTAGATCGATTGTCATTTTGAAGAATGTTCATATAATTATATATGTCTTGTATGCTTTGGTGAACTCATAGTATTACCACGACGTCACAAACAGCACTGACATTATTTACATGACCTGACATTTTCTAAATAACAAGTTTCTCCCACCTATGGACTTTGTCTCCCTTTGTGATACGAGTCTTGTAACTAACCTACGTGGCATAGGTCACTGATGAGGGTTTCTCGGGAGGAAACGGTCAGTGAATAACTCTCACAAGATAATAAGAAGGTTGTCATGGATGAGGATTTCTCATTCATCAGGCAATTAGGTTGTATACAACGCGATTATCTACATAATATATAAGTCGATTTACTTAATTTGAACATTCCTTGAGCTATAGTCGAGTCATCAATGTTATATAATCTAAGAGTAGACTTCGCAGTGGTTCCAACGAACCCCTAAGCAGGGTTTATACCAAAAGTAAAAGGTTTCACCGGTACCCTCGGGTAATGTTTTCACAGCCGGTATAAACCCCGGACCCCTTCCGTCTAAGTAAGAGAGGCAGTTCAGGGGCAGGGATAATGGGTTGGATTCTTTCCTTGGGCTGCTTTTTGATATCATCGTAAATTGTGTAAACTCCGTCATAGACCGAAATAGCATATAGTTATCAACTTCATAGTTATAAAAGGCTAAAGTATATCTATATTACTAAGACACCATACAGCATGTTATGCTTATACACGACCTACCGTACTCTTTTTAAATGAGTGGTAACGGAGTTCAGGGGCGGGGATAACGGATGAATTCTTTCCTTGCACTATTTACTACTTGCACTATCATTCAAAATTGTATAAACTCCGTCCGAGTCCATTTAATAATGTGATAAGTCCATATGGTTATAGCAGGCCCCATTGTGTATTTATTAACATCAGCATGATCCATAAGCTACCTAGGTAAACAGGTATTAACACATGCACAAACAATGAAGTTGAAAAACAATGTTTCCTGAGGAATGGCAGTTTAGTGTGACAAAGAAAGTATTACCTTCATATTTCTGTCCCGAACTTTCTCTGCTGAATCCGGTTCCTTTTCGCTGCCAACCATGAGCAGGGGATACATATATTGTGCCTGTTTGGTAGGTTCACCTACATCCGTACTGGCTTGAATGCGAGTTGCTAATAAAATTAAGCCCTTGGAGGTGTGGCTTCGTGTCCTGACATAGCTTGTGGGCTGCTGGTAGCTTGGGCAATGAGACACGTTAAAGTTAAAGAATGAAGGGCGGGATCCCACGCACGAGAGATTTCTTTGTAAACGCGACTCGAGGCAGCTTGGATAGGTGGTTAACACTGACAATATCATTGTGTGAACACGATCGGCATGCGCAAACGGGTATAGTGAACATGTTCTGCGACCTTTGCATGTACCGACTGATATATAAAATACTAAACGTTATGTAATACAGTCGTTTCTCGCTATCACTATCTGGAATTGAATTTAGCCATGATGAAACCTATATTGACAAAATTACACTCTTTGCAGTCTGCAGTTTATAGCGCTAAGAAAAGTCAGATTATCTACAAGTGTATCATTGTCCCATTAACAGCGACACTGACATCCTACAATTTGGGAGAACATGTTCTTGTCTTACTTGGTAAGTCCAGAATGAGAGTGCTCTGGTGCAGATCTCCATAATTACTTCAGGCCTCTGTCCGGCTATCACCATCTGCGTGTTGCAGAAACAATCTGTATAGTTTAGTTAAATACATTTCCCCAAAACGTTAGCTTATAAATATGGCAGTTACCTATTTACTATTAATGATAGCAGTTTATGTTTTATTTTGCAGAATAACCAATCTCGTATATATAATTGAGCAGATGTTTATACGTTGGAAACACATAGTGAGCTTCTAAATTAAGCCAAAATCATCATTTGAAAAACACTCTAAACACTTATAGTAATTACGAATTTTTGTTAGTAGTGATGAAACTGGTAAGTTTTAAATGTGTACACGGATATGATTGATATAGTTTAGCACTGTTATTTAACCTTCAACCGTGAACAGAATGTGTGTGAGCGAATATATGCTAATATTTAACTATATTAGCAACTTTCACAACATCGGTGTGCATAAAATCACTCAGTCGGAGCACAGTGCGACCACTCGACCCTCATTTTTTATCGACACTTACGATACAAATGGCAATATTCCTTAAATTTTAAAGGAACTTAGAATAATATCACTGGGATTGTGTCAATACAATATATCCCGTCATTGATAATGTGCACATTGAACACGTGTGACAGTAATAGTGACGTGGTTGTGTTGTGTGTTGAAGGCATTTATGAGCTTTTTAAACGCATTTCATGTTTTCTTTTATGTTTATCATCTTCTATAATATACCAGGATTACATTTGAACTAGATTATACTATAAAAATAGATAAAATGATTTAAAGCTATTATTAACACATTGGTGACGCCTGGTACGGTACACTTCGTTCAGGTGTACGTCAATATCTTCATACTAAGTTCAGCTCTTTATCACAGGTGGGTGAATGATATTAACACATGAAAAAGCTGATGACAGTTTATTCACACCTCAAGTTGTTTATATAGAAAGGGGCGTCAACAAACGTATTAGTGCTTGGTAATTAAACACACTCCCCCATCGTATAATGCTGATCAAAGTATACAATCACGCATTGTGCGTCAAACAGAATTTCCCTATCACTGCACATATATCTCTTTCGTGTTTAGAGCGTATAGTCCATGTATCACAGATCAATGAAATGTCTCGATATTTGGTCCAATAAACACTTTACTGTTTCTTTTTCGCACAATGGTGGGAAATTTTGCATTCCAGAGTTTATGTGACTTTAATTTATTGTTTTTTTATGCACAATTTATCTCAATAATCAAACAATTATATAGTGTGTATATGTCATAGCCTATGTTATACTTACAGATTTCCACTGTTCTGTGGGCTGCACGTTACTTCTGACAATGTCGCACTTTCCTGATAGAGTAGTCTCACCTACATAAAATATGATAATACTGCATGAGTGAGTGTGTAATGCTGAATTTACTAAACATCTGTCACACTGTTTGTATTTTCTGAACGAGAATATGACTCCTTCCAGTTCAAATGATAATAAATATGTGTCTGGAGATACATGTCCATGGTGATTATTTGCAAAGCTATCCACAATCAACCAGATCTGTCACTGTGTCATACGAAGTTTATTTTAAGTAGGTATTTAACTACACATTGCATAGTAATATATCAAATAGATTGAATATAAGATGAAGTGAAAATAAAAATTTATAACGATATCCCCTTCATACATATAACATTGAAAGGCTGCTTGACAGGATGCACCAGTGAACACTGTAGAACTGAAACTTTGAAAACGCATAGTGGACTTTGACGCTTGATAAGTAACATGACTGGAACCTTTTGTTCAGGTACGAGAACGTGAATGAGGATTTTAAACTCAGACAAAACTGTTGCAATGCTGCAGTTATATCCCAAATTCCACTTTGCGTTTTCATAGTGTGTCAGTATATATACCACAATATATAGATTCAAACTCATCGAGAAAGTTAGTATGTTACTCACAAGCAGGACAAACAACTGATTTGTTGAATTCTCGACTCCCATCTTCATCACAGAATACATCTTAGAAGGTTAAGAATGTCCCTATGTAAAGTAACTTGGCTTATGTGAAAATAAATATATTGCTAATAATCTCTTTATATATATAGTCACGAAATAAGTTATGTATATAAGGTAAATTCTATAAAGGAACCCTCAAGTTCTTAATTTCAGGAATTTAAAAGGGCATGAGTGTAGGCTGCAAGAGCTTCGAAGGGAAGGGGGTTAAATACATGCTCTCTCTCGAGAGATGCATCGCATTGCAACGACGTGTAGTCCTAAATTACAGGAATAACTTTGAAATGAGTTCATAAGCTACAATTATTGTTGGTGTATCTTTCCTTTAAAGCATGTATACATGTAACAACTTGAATCCCGTTCGATCACAGAAAGACAAGTATTTAAAAAACGCATAGTATGTCCCATACTGAGTTGCCATCAATAAATGTAATCCATCATGCGTGAATGTTCGTCAAAGTATTAACTGTAATCAACTCGAAATGAAAACGGTATCCTATTAAATAGGTTTGTGGACCATCCTTAAACACCATGCACATACACAATTACAACCGGTGATAGGCTTTCACATACCCCTTCTATACCCATATACCCAGCTTTTACATTGCCTCATTTGCCACCATACATATACAGTTAACTTCTTGTAAGCCTATAGAACGACTATGATGTGCTGACAATATACTGATTTGAATACTTATGGGTGAAGTGACCCAATTACCTTGGAAAATGACTGGTATCAGGGTACGTGAGACCCATTCCTCAGAAAGGAAAGATACATTTAGTCCGGTATAATATCAGGGTTAATCGAACGGCTGAAATTGCAGTGCTAGGTATCGCGTATACTTGTAGTGTATTACATGTGGGTAATATTTGAACTGTAAATCTTGCAGACTTGCAGACTAGTATGTCAATCGGCCATAGGCCACGTCACAAATTAAAGGTAAGGATACGTGAGCACGAAGTAACCTGAAAAAGAGGTGCAATTTCTTTTTTAATTTGTTAAGGTAATCACTGAACACTGATAAATAGATTTACAAAAATTACCAACCTGTATTGATCGATTAGCTCCGTCGTATGTAAAACTAAAACATTTAATAATTTGTGTATAGGCTCTAAGCATGTAAGCGAATGTAGGTTATATGTATTAGATTATGATCATCGTATTTCTGTAGCCACGTATAAAGCCCAGCATATTATTTCAGTTGCTAAAGAAATGGGATGTTGTATGATTCTATACTATAAATCTAAAAATGATTTGATATCATGATTGATGATAGACATACCCATGCAAACGATCGGATTTGTTTTCTGCACTTTTTAAAGTTGCATATCAAATCTCCATCCATTGTCTCGTCCTTTTCTACCACAGCTGTTTAGTGCCTCTAATCTACTAGAAAAATAAATAAAAACCTTGCAAAACAAAGTTCGAAATTACGAATAGAAACAAAGGGATCCTTGTCGTAATTCTGAAATACTATGCTATAAACTTTAAAGATCTAGGAGAGCCCTAGATTCATATGATCTTTACATTATCAGTTCGGTGCCGGGAAGTGCAGTTCATAAAGCAGTACGGCTCGGAACAACGAATGTCATTTCTAAACACGGCTACCTAAAACGACCTGAATAACGCATATTATTCTTCTACATTACGAATATGACCTATCCGGAATGACGACCTACACATCGATTTACACATTTGTAATGATTACATATGCATTCTTAAAGCAAAATAGACGCGCAGAAGCACCTGTCACAAACAAATGTCGTCTGCTACGACTCGCACGTGTTTCTAATATTCCCCTTACGTTAAACTACATCACAAGTACTTCATCAAGATATCTTCAAAATTGTTTATTTTCTTTTTTCTGACTCTTACAAAAAACAGAATTGTAAGATTTTTGGTTATGTATCAATGCCATGTACAATTCTGTTGAACAGAACAAATAATTCACCAACATAGTATATATTGTACCTATAATATGTTTAAAGGAAACTATAACCCTCGCGCTTCCTCGCGAGAGTTACGTGGCATTAAACATGGCCGGTTGGGCAGGCTTCAGCGACGAGGACTTGAGGCGAATAAAACAGAACTCAACTGGAGGGGCAGGTAACAGGTGTTCGTACTTAAATAATAATATAGTAATTTCCATAGCGACATATTATTATTTTACAGAATCATTGAGAATGAGCTTGACAAGTTAACACTTCAAATTTTCGTTTTCAACGTTTGACAACTCAAGTTGCCAATAAAAACAAGCTAGCTACAGATGAAACCCATTCCAAAATGAAATGTTCTACAGTTTTGATTCTTCTATCAATCCTTCTGGTTACGCTTAACTGTCTTCAGTCAATAGTGCCAAAGTCTTGACAAAACACACCAAGAAAATAAACAATGTTCACAGGGTATTTACTGTTTATGATATCATATTTATATGAATACGTCTAAATTAATTATACATGCTCAGAAGGCACACTAGTATTGTCGACAGTTTTTTCGAGCCCCAAAGAAGTATTTCTGATTATGTGTCTGATGACAATCCCAATACACTAAAATATGTCTTACCTTTGAGAATATGTATGTGCACAACATGATCAGTCACCAGACATTAGAGACAGGAAGTTTACAAACAGAAGCAGATACATCATCGGTGCATACAATTGGTCTTATGCAAAATTATCATCAAATCAAGTTGGATTAAAATGTGCTTGAGTGAAAAAGTAAGTTTTGTGGTATGTGTTCATTACTTACTGAATATCTTTCCGTAATTTGTAATATGACTTCAGCGGCAAATTCAGTGGCACTTTGAGATACATGTCATCGATCCCAATTGCGTGGATCGATGCTAATGATGTCAATCACTGGATTGTCTGGTCCAGACTCGATTATTTTACTGAAGGCCGTCATATAGCTGGAATATTGCTGAGTGCGGCGTTAAACAACAAACAAACAGAAAAACAGTGGCACTTTGAAGTCTTCAGTGGGCTTTGAAGAGTCTACCTTCGTCTAATTGATATTTGCAACAAAATCGCAATCAGTCTTTTCACTATGCTGATCCTTTAAAAGTTAAAGATTTATGGGGTCCCTTAATTCATAACTATAGGCACGATAGGAGTTTACTTCAGCATGTTCAAGGAACCCAGGCAACACTATAGTTCAACAAGACAGTTACAGTCCCACCTTTTCCATGTTTACTGATAATTTGTTTTCTCCACTGATGATATACATTCTGTTTTCCATGTTGCTAGACTTAGCTGCTAACAGACAGGCCCAGTTGAAGCGGCAGCATGTACCAAACAAAGAAAGGCTTGTGAGAAATTCAAGAGGCCACGGGGCAGCAGCTTCTGGCAATCCGACTCAACTAGATCCCTCACAGAGGCTAGTGCAACCCGAGGAACTGAAGGTGAAGGCAAATGGAAAAGGACCAAGGGCAACAGAACAGGGGCAACGGAAGGCTGCTGCTCATCAAGATGCGGACAAACCTGACAAGCTACAGGTGGCAGGAGTGTCATCAGAAAAGCAGTTGTCTGATTCAGGGCAAAGAGTCGAGTCAGAGACACCATCAGAAGACAAGGAAAACATGAGAGAACTTGATGAAACAGAGGCAATTGGGTAGCTAGCTCCTGATAGTTTTGTGTGGATGTACATAGGAGATATGAGAACGTTTCCTAGGGGATCAGAATGTAGTGTGAGGAGGTTGTTATAGTACTGTACACATGTTAATATTGTTAAATGTTATTATACAGTTATAATTGCATACATGTCATTTGGAATCTTATAATATCTAAATGCCTCCCTGGGCACCTGTTGCTCCTTCATATATTTTTTAAGCATGACAAGTACCCAGGGCGCTTAGAAAATTTACAAAGTGGGGCACTGCACAAATTAAATTCAGATAAATTGAAATTTTAGATGTCGAGCAGTAGTAAACAGGCTCAGTTCAAACGTTGATAAAAGTAATACTAAATAGTTACTTGGCAATTATATACCCCTTCTGTGCTGCTGTTTTCTACATAAAAATGTGTAATGTACACAATAAGAGAAGGACTGTTTTGTTCATTTTCGGTCTCATATTGGGGTGCTTATAACAAGTTCTGAGAAATTGGTCCAGACGATGGTCAGGGGGCGCTTATCGAAGCAGGTTGCTTAATACAGTGAATACGGTACATGCGCATGATGATATCTGTCTGTGCCAAAAATGTTTGAGCCTACTAACCTAAACTTGTCCCTGGTCATCATTTTCAGAAGGGTTTCGTATTAGCTTATTATGGACTATTACTAGTTGGGCTTACTATGCCAAACAAAATCTACTACGATCAGGCTTCAGACTTGTGGGTAAAGTTGCAGTCTGTAATATTGATCCATTTCTAAGAGATATTCACTAATGTGAATGATTTCTTTGCTGTAGCGTGGAGCTGGGCAATATGGCCAAGTTCCAGAAGCAGCAGAAGATGATAGAGGAGGCCAACAAGCAAAAGAGGCAGTACCTGACCAATGCCATCAATGAGAGGTGAGCCTGTTGACTAGTCAGTGTTGGGGCAGTACCTGACTAAGGACATCAATGAGAGGTGAGCCTGTTGACTAGTCGGTGTTGGGGCAGTACCTGACCAATGCCATCAATGAGAGGTGAGCCTGTTGACTAGTCGGTGTTGGAGCAGTACATGACTAAGGACATCAATGAGAGGTGAGCCTGTTGACTAGTCGGTGTTGGGGCAGTACATGACTAAGGACATCAATGAGAGGTGAGCCTGTTGACTAGTCGGTGTTGGGGCAGTACCTGACTAAGGACATCAATGAGAGGTGAGCCTGTTCACTGGTCGGTGTTGGGGCATTACTTGACTAAGGTCTTTAATGAGAGGTAAGCCTGTTCACTAGTCGGTGTTGGGGCAGTACTTGACTAAGGTCTTTAATGAGAGGTGAGCCTGTTCACTAGTCGGTGTTGGGGCAGTACTTGACTAAGGTCTTTAATGAGAGGTGAGCCTGTTCACTAGTCGGTGTTGGGGCAGTACTTGACTAAGGACATCAATGAGAGGTGAGCCTGTTGACTAGTCGGTGTTGGGGCAGTACATGACTAAGGACATCAATGAGAGGTGAGCCTGTTGACTAGTCGGTGTTGGGGCAGTACTTGACTAAGGTCTTTAATGAGAGGTGAGCCTGTTCACTAGTCGGTGTTGGGGCAGTACCTGACTAAGGACATCAATGAGAGGTGAGCATGTTGACTAGTAGGTGTTGGGGCAGTACCTGACTAAGGACATCAATGAGAGGTGAGCCTGTTCACTAGTCGGTGTTGGGGCAGTACCTGACTAAGGACATCAATGAGAGGTGAGCCTGTTGACTAGTCGGTGTTGGGGCAGTACTTGACTAAGGACATCAATGAGAGGTGTGCATGTTGACTAGTCGGTGTTGGGGCAGTACTTGACTAAGGACATCAATGAGAGGTGAGCATGTTGACTAGTCGGTGTTGGGGCAGTACTTGACTAAGGACATCAATGAGAGGTGAGCATGTTGACTAGTCGGTGTTGGGGCAGTACCTGACTAAGGACATCAATGAGAGGTGAGCCTGTTAAACTATGAGAGCTCTGAGATAGTTTGTGAAACGAGGTCCTGGTGTGTAATTATCTTGTGTTTTTGGAATTGAAATGCTGGGTCTGTGTTCCAGGAAGAAAAAGGCCAAAGCAGAATCTGTGAAGCTGACAAAGATTCAGTCAGAACTAGGTCGCCTTGACACACTTCTGTCGGTCGACGTTGGGGTCATCAGGGATAAGATAGAGGCAGCCAGCATTGACTACACAGATGCTCAGTTGAGTCACTTAGGTTCACTCAGTTTTTGCCTTCCAAGTGTTTGTTTCAGCTATTGATGTTATTGTACACAATATTATTAATTCGCCTTGGTTCATGTTGAAAACAACAAGAAATATCTATTATATATACAGGTTTCAAAATTAAGCATGAAAGTCAAGGGGTCCTTGTCATAAACCTAATGATAAAAGTTTTAAGTGAAGGAGGTCCCTAGATATCAATACAACTGAGTCACACCTCCAGGACCCCAGGGTCACACTTAAGACACTGATATGTATATCAGCCCTGTGTATCAAGTGATAGGTACATAGGAAAAAGAGTTACCGTATTCGACGTAATAAGCGCCCTAGGGCGCTCTCAAAATTAGAAATAGGGAGCTCTTATATGAATATTATTTTGGTGGAAAAAAACAGAGTTGAAAGATAAATTTCATGGTTTATACTGACAGCGTGTAATGTTTATGTACGACAGATATATTTTTCAAGAATTTAATTTGCCCATAATTAAAGGTGCATATAACACACGAGTGCGTATTATAAGTCTTGTGTACATTGATCAATCGGAAGGGGTGCTAATTTGGATTGTTCACTAGCCAATATATTAGCAAATATCGCCGTGGACGCTTATTATGTCGAATACGGTATAGGAAAAGACTTTTGGACTTTCACTAAGTCAAAAATGGAGATAATGGACTATAGTGTTCAGGCTGACACACGTTAGGCATATTTTACGAGTTAGGATTAAATGTCACTGAACACTATTTTAGTTATGACATAGCATCCAGTGATTGGAATTAAGGAGGATCCTGGGGTCTTAGATCATCTCCTATGGTATTTGAATCCAGAATCCCCCTTAATCACCTCACCTCCGGGTCTTTAAAGGACGCAAACCTTGGGAGTGTATTTCATATCTTAGACCCACTGGGCCACCCAAGCTGCCTGGCTTGTTAGTGTCTGTATGCTGCATTCATATGCAAGCGAGAGCACAATGTATGTAGGATTGGGGCACAACTAATTTCCACATTATTTTTGGACAAGAATAAAAAGTTTAAAAAGTTTCAAGCAAGCAGTGTAAATATATATGTGTATTATATGAACCGATAAGTGAAAGAAATGGTCCCTGAACCATATTATTTTCCCTTCCTCCAAGCCCTTATTGTAATCCTATAGCCCCAAAACTAGATTTACCACAGGTTCCGATCTCACTTAGGCGCCTTTTCAATTTAAATTTAGTCGTTTGACCTATCAAAATTATATGTTTTCAGATACTAATCTTAAGTCTAGATAACAACTATAAACTTCATTTTTCTCAGGAGGCGGTATAGCCGAGCAGAGCAAGAATTTATCCATGCAAAAATGGACTTGTTTCATAAAGGCGAGTTGAAGGAGAGACTTACAGAGCACCTTTACACCATTATTCACCAGAATGAGGTGAGGAAGGCCAACAAATTGGCAGAACTGATGAAACAACTGGAGATGGAAGTTGCACAAGAAGAAATGGAAATGTCTGTTCCAGCCATTCCAATGCTTACAAACTTTAATTCTGTCACAACACTGCAAAACCCAGCACTGAAGTCACCAGTTCACAGCCCTGAGGTGGATAAGAACATAGATCTGACCAACAAAGATTCTTTGACAGAAAATACAGACTCTGTGCGAACAAAATCACCCGAGGAGGACATCGCAGTCAAGTCTGAACCAGGGGCAGACAACTCTTTACAGATGCCCATACAAGCAGGAAGTAATCCTGAGACAAAGGCTAGTTCAATTGGGCAGCGGCAGTGTGAAGAACTTTCTCAAAGAACTGATGAAAGTAAGACTGTTGTGTCAAGTGATATGTCTAAAGATGTGGAACAGAAAGAGGATGCTGAATCGGCATCTTCATCTGTAAACAAAACAACTTTATCATGTCAGGATGTGGGTTAAAACAACAGACTTGAATATGTTGCAGAAGTTTCATATCATAACTGCACTCATCATGTTCGCAGTACCAGGGGTACTGGCATCTCAATGTTGAAGTGAACAACTTTGAGATCTCATCATATTCAAGCAACATACTTTGAGATTATGTGATGTGTCTTAATTGGCATCTATTGTGAGCATGAGAAATGAATGTTGAATTCAGTCAGGTACATTCAACTTGTTCAATGCATATATTATTTTTTTAAGATTGAAGATAATGAGACTGTTCTGAAAATTTAACTCAAACACTGTCATAATCATGATAATAATAGTAATTATACAGCAACAACTTTTGGGACACAATTGGGTCTGTTGATTTAAATTTGGATTGGGAGACATTTGGCCTCTCAGCTGTCCAGCAATGAATTAGGATCGATGTACACAGACCCCATCTAGATCCAACACTAATAACGGTACTCACGACATGTCAAATGGGGAATGTGGGTTCAAATGTAACTCCCATTTGTCATGTGGTTCCCACATTTGTGTCCCTATGAGAAATTTGTGGGTTGGAGGTGTAGGGATTGAAATATATGATCAAGGTGGAGAACCCACTTATTCTTCAGTCAATGTTTGCTCAGGGTTCACCTGACATGACCTTCTCGTCAGATTTTGACACAACACTGAGAGGTGTCTTTCTCAAAGCAACTGTAGCTCAATCTTAATGTGGTATGTCAACCTTAGCTCTAAGATTGCAGTTGTAAGACTGTATGACAATGTTTCCTCAATCTGTTACTCCTTATACTGGTAAAGACACAATAGTTTAGGATTTTCTTTGCCTCTTTCTAACACAATTTCTGAGTGCCAGTGTTTTAGACCGATTTACATAATCATCAAATGTAATTTCTAAACATGAACGACTACGAAACAATCGCTAAATTCCAGCACATTGTAATCTCCCTTTCTCCATGTTCTCAACAGCATGCCTATGTACTGTTTGAAATCCTTGGGTATCATGGGTATGAGCTGTATGTTGAATTAATTGTTGGTAAGATAATATAGCAAAACAAATTCTGGATTAACAAGTTCGAGCAGCTGCCTCTCAACAAGCAAAATATGAATCCAATCGCAATAATAACCTCAAGACAAAAAAAAGACCCATGCCTCGACAGTTTATGTGAATGATTATCATACACGGGTACTATAGACATGTACTATCTTCCATTACTGATGCTCCATTTCCCCTTTATTTTATACGTGAAATGTTAATTCTAATCAGATATTAGCAGTACATTAACTGGCATTAACACATGTTAAATCCACAGCCATCGTTTATGAATTAGTGGAAACTGTTTTCATGGGGATGGATGGGAGGGGGAGGGTGTGAGAGGAAGTGTTCATCTTCAAAATCAACTTCACAGAAAGTTTTTAAAAAAAAAACTGTCGAGTTCTCAGGCTTTGGTCAAAGAATTGTTTTCCATGCAAACTCATTAATTGGCAAGTTTTGTCAATGCACAAGCCTCTGAAATTTTTTGCATACTCAGCATACTCACATTTTTTATAATTGATACTGATCATGTTTTTGCTGCTCCATCCTTTGTTGACATTGTAGACTAAACAACTCACATACTCACGTGTTGGAAGGTATGCATTTCCTGGTATGATGCAAAATGGCTAATTACATTAAACAACTAAAGGTTTATCATAATTTTCTTTTAAACTAATATTCTGAACGTGTGTGATCTTGTAAGTCATGAAAATATCAACTTTAAATTTGTCAGGTCACACAATGAGATAAATATGTTATTAGCAAGGATCGACTCTCCACCCCCACCCCAATCACACTGAAATAAACATAAGAGACTGTGTTAGGGACAGAAGCTTGAAATTGTGTTTCTCTAACCATGCGAAATAGGACTGTTTCCTCAGGTTTAGTGCGCCACATTGCCCTGAATGTTGTGCTGTTTTGAATGAAAATGTGAAAGTTTGTTTCATGTTTTCATTTTGTCTTGAAGCAGAAATGACAAGTTTTTGCTGGTGTAAAAATTACCACCATACCAAAAGCACCAAGACAATAACCTGTATGGCTGTACAGGTAGACTGATGATGAATGATGTACTTAACATATGAAGCAGGTGCACAGGCACTATTCATGCCCTCTATGCCTTCACTTGCACATTTTCAAGGTGTTATTTTTATGCCAAATGTTGATTCTTCTGTAACCATGGTGGCTGTCATGGATTCAGAAATAAGACTATTTTTTTTAAACCGTCCTTGAATTATTGCCGTTGTAAACCAAGATCATACTGCTGAATTATATTAATGGTAGAAACGTGTGGTTACCCTTTATGTTATCATGTCCTATGCAATACTTTAACATGCTTTTAATTTCTGCTGAAAAAATACTTTTTTGAATATATACATGTTTTAGATGTGCGATATATGTGATATGACTAAGGGGTCATTTAAAAAATTCTCATATACAAGTATTCTTAGCTTCAATCCATTTCCTATCCCAAGCGGTCATCAAACTTATGTTGTCATGGTTATCATGTAAAGTCATTGGAAAAGTGTAATGTTAATTGTTTATGCTTAACACGTCCAGACATTTATTATCCCTATGTTCATACATATGTTCATATGAAAGGTTTGCTTTACTCGGCTAGTTTTAAGCATATTACATCACATTCTGGCAGAAAAGAAATCAGTTTTCAGTTCTATTTCCCTATATTGTATTTGTTCGGGTTGGCAATGATTTCTCCATGGCTACGAAGTGGCGTGGTTACGAATTCACCTACACCCCATCCAAACATTTGCCATATAACTGGCTCACGTATCGATTCGCCCTGATTAATTTTTTTTTTTATAAATATTTTTATTTCAATTCAGTAGACATAAATGTAACATTGGTACATGAGGTATATTCGTGTAGCAATTCATAGAATCTTAAAACATGATTAGATATGGGTATGTACATACATGTGTATTGATTGACTGATAAATTATAATAAGTAGGCTGATAATTCCTTCCATTTTCTGTTGAATCTATTAATACTACTATTTTTCATTGCGATAATTTTTTCTATTTTGATATATATATTCTTTCAATATTTTTATGAAAAAAGAAAAGCATAATGGAGTTTTTTTAACTTAATGCTTGACTGGTGAATGTATCTTTTTGCAAGAAGAATTATGTATAATGTTTCATTTCAATTTCTAACCAAAATTCCTTTACAAAAACGCATTCTACAAACATATGGTATAAGTTTTCTGATTCAGAGACACAAAATGAGCATATATCATCATCCATTTACTTCATTTTCGATAATTACTTTTTGGTATATAGAGCTCTATTTATGAATCTGTACTGGAAATCTATTAGTTTAACATCAGGCAGAAAAGAAACTTGATATTCACACGGCCAGTAACTGTTCATTAATATTCAGCGTGGTTTCACTGTCTTTATACCATTGGGGAAGTATGCACATTAGCTTATTGTGTATGGTCTTTTTGAGAATTTTGATATATTTTTATGAAACAATTGTAGAATTAATAATGTCATATATGTTCAAATAATATCAGTTTTGTTATGACCACAAAACATGCATTCATGAAAAACATTTTTATGTGAATGCTCTGCAAGATGGCATGATATGATGTCATTGATTTGACTCAATAAATCCTTTATAAAAGCAAAACCTGGATGTGTAGTTTCCTCTGGATAATGTTACCAGGCGGATATTGCACCCTGATGGCAACAATGGAAGCGCATGTCATGTTCTTGCTGTAATACTACCAGAGACTGGAATATGGTCTCTGATATTACTGACTGTTCATGAAAATAATCTGATATGAAAACTTTTGCAGGATGAGAAATCATCTGATGGATGACATGTTTAGCTCTTGAGATTGAAAACAGGGTTGTCATTAATGAAGGTGTCTGTCTCCTGATTGTGATGTTACAGGTTGCAGGAATTGGGTGCTACACCACTATGAAGTCATTTATCATGTATGAAGTTAACACTGGATGTACATTGACATGAATGTCATGTTTGTGTTATTGTTGGGAGATATAAATATATTGTTACAGAACTAGACTTTGTTTTCTATGCACCATTAATTGTTTTGTTTTTATTCAAATCAAATTGAAATCGTATTATGCTTGTTATGGGTGACGTCTTCATAAAGATAAGTAGCAAGAATATTACTATTACTTATGTACAGTTGCTTATTAACACAAGATAGTAAATAATGCTTTGGCACACAGTTTATTGTGAATGCTAGCTAGGGCTTTGACTGAAAGGGGGAGTGAGGTAGCCTAGTAGTTAAGGTGTTAGCTTGTCACACTGACAACCCGGGTTTGTTTCTCCAAATGGGTATAATGTGTGCAGCTCATTTCTGGACCCACTTGCACAAAGCGATCTTAGCGCTAAGATGATCATAACTCCCATACTTTAACATAGGCTTACAATAGTCGTGCTAAGATCGCTTTGTGCAAGTGGGCCCTGGACTATTGCTAAAAGTGATGTCATGAAGTGGTGCACAAAATAATCCACAGAAACTGGATGCATGTCTTGTGAGGAGATGTTTTCAATCACTGATGTTTTTGAGTCTGGCAGAACATCTACTGTTATGGCACAAAGTATTGCAATGCACTGCTATGTTACAGCCCTTGACTTCCGTGACTTGATCTTTACAGATGAAAACTTTTACATGAAGGATAATGCTCTTTTTCTGCAAGGATGCAGGTTTTAAATCTCAGAAACACCTGTGGTGCAGTGTCTTCTCTAACATGTCAATCCTTTTTGGCACAATAAAATACTCTAAAATGATTATATCAATGTACACAATTTTTAGAATGAATAATGGCTTGCCAAATACAGTGTTTGAGCTGTATGTGTAAGCAAGGATTGTATCCTACCTAAATATTACCCCGGGAGAAGTTTTACTCCAGAGTATAGTATCCTACCTTAGTGCCACACTGGTATGGGTTCAAATTCACAAGGGAGAATCATCCTGACACTAGAGAATTTCATCCCCGGGATAAAAAAATAGGGTAGGATAATATTTACTTTTACACATGCACTGGTCAGATGCTCTTCCACGTGTCAGTTTAGGATAAGTAAAAAAATAATAATATTTTGTTACCATTATCATTGGGCAAACACTGCTAATAAAAACGCTTGTAAAGAGGACTTTGAAAAAACTTTTGAAGTGGTAGTGAGTTGAGAATCTTCAGCAAAATGACATGAGGTGTATTAGGGTTCTAATCTGAATAACAGGTTTAGGAACAGTTCATGTGAAGATAACGTCTGCTGGATATTGAAAAATATCTCCAGGACACGACATACACAGATTAATCTTCTGAGATATAACCCAGGATTCTGGGTAAGAATAGGTCCCTTGCATGAACAGTCCAGTCATACACAGTATACTCCGAGCCGACCAGTCCTTGTTTTAGCACCTTAATGCCGAGCACCAGGCAGGGTAACAAGTGTCATCTTTCAACATCTCTTGGTATGACACGGCCGGGGATCGAACACCTGACCTTCCGCTCTCTGTACCACTAGAGAACGGAGGGGGTCCGAGAATGAGGGAAATAAATAGTGCTTATTGTTCTAACAGCACATATTTAAATATTTAAAAACTAATTCATCTCAAAAGTGCATGGTAGGAAGAAACACCTCACAATATGTACTTACTTTGCTTTCATTCTCATTGAAAACTCTTCAGAACAGAATCTAACAGACCTTGTGAGCATGACAGGAAGTTAACTCAAAGGGATGTAACTCCCGAAGCCCACTGCCCATAAAAAATATTTGAGAAATTGAGTCCAACATCCCAGTCAATTCTTTGAATTCCAAACACTAGAGTCCAATTAATTTTTACATTAAACTTCATGGACCTTTTCATGTTGCTTGACTTGTGATAATCAATGATGATGTGATAGTCAAGCCCATGTCCAAGACCCATGTGAGTGCATATGGGCATATATGTATTGCTTGGCTTGTGATAATCAATGATGATGTGATAGTCAAGCCCATGTCCAAGACCCATGTGAGTGTATATGGGCATATATGTATTGCTTGACTTGTGATAATCAATGATGATGTGATAGTCAAGCCCATGTCCAAGACCCATGTGAGTGTATATGGGCATATATGTATTCCTAACTGCAGTCTAGGTGGGACATCCAAGCCATAGTGGGACGTCACAATATCAAGAGACCAACACCATTCTCCAGTTCTATATCCCCGTGGGAATTTCCAAGACAGATTATGTCCTGTGTGCCTCATGATTGTGAAAGATGATTAAAATCCATGCAGGGGTGATGCATAACCTGTGCTTTATAATACACTGTCATTTTGGATTGCTGCTCCTGGTGACGACACTGTACCCCAATGGCATGGAACTTTGCTCATAATATCAATCACTGGTTTGTCTGGTTTATTTGATTATTTGGTGTGATGTTAAACTACAAACAAATCAGGCCAACCTTCTATTATTTACAGTATGTGTTATACTGCCAGTCGTGGCAAACACTGTTCACCATCCCAAGTTCCTTTATAACAGAATAGGTCTTCAGCAACCCATGCTTGCCATAAAAGGTGACTGTGCTTGTCATAAAAGGCGACTAACGGGATCGGGTGGTCAAGCTCGCTGACTTGGTTGATGCATGTCATTGATCCCAATTGCGTGGATCGATGCTCATGTTGTCAATCACTGGATTGTCTGGTCCAGACTCGATTATTTACAGACCGCCATCATTTAGCTGGAATATTGCTGAGCCAGCGTTAAACAACAAACCAACCAACCAACCAACCTTTATAACACAGCAATAATAAAGTGAGTGAGTGAGTGAGTTGGGTTTAACGCCGCTTTTAACAGTATTCCAGTTATATCACGGCGTGTCAGTTTGATGTGGGAGGAAAGCCTGAAGTGATGCAGGTCTCTGACGTTTACCACTTCGGGGAAACCCAGGAGCACGGGTATGGTGCTGACAAACCTAGAAACATAATTGGGGAGAACCGGGATTTGAACCCACAATCATAGGTTTCTGGCGTGCCCAAGGGACGCAACTCTGCACAGCGATTCGCGGCGCCTTAGACAACTGGGCCTCCCGTGGCCCCGCAATAATAAAGACAAATAGAAATAATAAGAACAGTATGTGTTTAACGTGTTTATTTACAACTGGGAAAATATGTAAAACTGTGAATCAAAGCTCTCCATAGAAGACATATGTACATATAGATAATATGAGCTCTAAAACAAGACAAAGCAAAGATGCTTAAAAGGCCTATAAAAGGATACGCTGAATCCTGTAAGACTGAAATAAAGAATTTATTTAAGTTTCTCTCTTGAAAAATACAACTACAACCATGAAGAAAAACACAACTTTAAAATCTGAAATTTATTATGTTAAAAGATTATTAATTCAATAAATCACAAATTGGTCTAAAAAAAATGTCAAATTACAATGAATGATCTTTTCATTGTGTCCAGAAAAAATACCTGCCAATTCACACATTAATGTAATGTTTAAAAAGGACAAATCAAATAAAAAGGAAATCCTCAAAATAATATACTTTAACAATGGAAAAGGTGAAGCCTCTTTAAAATAAATTTTGCAGATTTGAAACCTGTGGTTAGAAACATAAAGACCTGTTAACTCTTCTCCAGTGTAGTCCTTTACCGTATTTCACGTATAAAGTGTGCTGATCCAATATGCTTGAACCATCGAAACTTTTTGTGTACCCTGTGCGCACAATACACTGAATATGGAAATTAAGATATAACAATGTTGCCATGATACCAGTATGTGCTGTCACAGTGGATATGTTCAGTCAAGGAGCAATTTACACCTTGTTCCATATTCTTGGAAGACAAAGGCAACAGTTTATTTGTATAGACTGACACACGATATTACTTGTAAAATAACTGATAAAATTGATGAAAAAGATTAAATATTTAAATACACTGAAATAAAACATCCATATTTCAACAATATATACAGACTCCCACTCTTTCAAAGAGTGAGCATATCGACTTCTCTAGTATCACATTAATGCTGACCTAAGAAACTAAACATTACCTTCAAATTATGTTTACAGGTATCAGATTGATCTAAACATACTCATCAAATTCATACAGGTTGAGATTGAGCCAATTCTTGGTTATAGTATACTATATATTAAGAAATATGAAAAATATTAAATATCCTGGGTATTATCAATGAAGTATACTATATATTAAGAAATATGAAAAATATTAAATATCTTGGATGAAGGATATTCTTGAAACTATGAAAGAGAAAAAAACTTTGTCAAGAACTGGGATCAATCTTCTCAAAATCAAATGTTTTACTCCAATATGGTTCCTCTCTGACACCTCTGTAGAAGGTTGTGCAGGTGAACACTGAGCAAACTTTGACTGTCCAATCAAAATGAAACATGCATGGTTCTTGAGCCAATCAGATGACAGCTTTCTAAAACGATTCGGCATCATTTCTTTACCACCTTGATTTGAAAGTTTTTATTTACACAAAAAAAAAACCCAAACAGAGACAAATATTTCTTTATTGGTTCTCCCTTTTGGGTGTTGATCTCTCAGAGACAGAGTGGTTAAAATATCCACAACAATATGATGGCGCGGCATAAGATATCTATATTCAGAGCAGGTCATTTAAGTTAGTTTTTGACATATAGAAATAAAAAATGCTGGTCTGAATCCCTTGCTCACTCCTACAGAGAATATAGAAGCCTCGGTGCCAATTTGTTGATTAGAAAGTTTGCCTGACACTTTTTCCTAATGTATCATATTGGAGTTAACAATCTCATTTCACTGGATTAAAATTGGGATATGCTAAAAATCTATCTACTAACCTCTCCATAGTATGACTAATACACATGACAATGGGATCGTGATTGTTACAAATTGTGAATTACTAAAAAAGCATAGAAATACCACTGGTATAAAAATGTAACAATTGGTGAGAAATGCACATGATGTAGACATATTGAACTGCTGCTGGGCATCCTCTACACTGGCTACAGCAACACTGAACAGGCTTCACGAGCCACTCGGATGGGTACAGGTGTGTGATGGAAGAAAAGTTACATTCACAACCTTCAAAGGAAAATTTGACAGTAATATTGCCAGAGTTAATAAAGAAAGTAACACAAACTCTCATCCTACAAAAATATTTTTAAAGTTTACAATGCAGAACATTTGAGCATTTTACTCACTATTTACCTAGCAAAGACTTAGTCATGCTAACTTAAATATTAAGAAGATGCAATATTCTTATTGTCTTACTAAATAACAACTTGATAACACTTGCAAGAAAGCACCAAATGTGTACTGTTCTTTAACTAGGTTTAAACAGCATGAATACAAAACCTCATAACTTGGCAACTTGCTGCCATCTAAGGTATACAACACAAGCTAGTCTCTTTCTAAGCAAACCTGAATATTGAACATAAAAAAACTTATTAAACTGTGGGTATTATCTTTTCTAACACATGCATCATTTTAACACAATTGCATATTTTCTTTCATAAAATAAACAAAGGAGCACAGAGTTATACGTAGAAACTGTCCCACTTTAGTTCCATGTCCATTCCAACTTGCAACAAATGCTTGCCAAAGGTAACAGAACCTTACCGCTACTCAGGAACATATTCTTCAAAATATTCCTGGTTCATAACCAAAATAAATCCTATCCCTTCCCCTACAATAATAAATAAATCAGTGATGCTGTAAGTGAAATGTTGCTTGTTTCCAACACACCTGTACAAGCTATTCTTTATCCTATGGGATAACACTTGTCTAAGTTGCTGAAGATGAATGAATATTTTGTTCCTTGCAAAATTGGATCAATGTTCAGTGTTCTTGTTTATCATTACCTAATTTGAATGTTATTTTAGAATGTTTCAAATCAATTTATGTAGATTTACCAGTTTTCTGGAACAGACATGGAAAAAAGTGGCACCTGGTTGATATAAGCAGTCATCTTCCCGAGGCAAGGGCCTTAACTGATTTTAAAAGTCCAGCTTCCACCCTTGCCAAACTAGGCTGGAATTTTCAGGCTCGATCCTAGCGTTATTACAAGTTACGTCCCTTCTATATCCCTCCTATTGACCAATCAGATTCCACCTCTCATATCACTTGCAATTGCTTCATTCAAAATGTTCGCGCCAGTCTAGACGATCTGATCAATGATCAAGATCTATATTGTAATAAAACAGGTCTTATCTCACGAAGTACATCAACTGATTTGAGCACCTTGATGAAAAACATGAAAAGGTGCTGAAAATATCTGTCATCCCACAGTTGGCGGTATACATGCTTTGCAAATCCTTCAGTCGACCACAATCTGCACGTTGAAATCCATGTTGTTTTTTAACCGGATTTCTAGTTCGTTAAGCGATTTTGATTGGACTATGCATAGACTTGTTAGTCCAGCTAATATGTAACTCCGGAATTCCAGCCTCGTTCGGCAAGGGAGGTAACTGGACTTTTATAGTCAGTTAATGCCCTTGCCTAGGGAAGATGATAAGCAGTAGTTCCACCCAAGGCAGGTGTTACAGGCAGTAAACACAGCTGAAGTCTGCCACCCGTGTGATATGACCAACAGGAATCAACAGGGAATCGGCTAACTCTGTCGGGGTTTGGACCAAGCATGAAATGCAGCCCTGAGTTGAAGTTTACAAAAGGACAATTTGAAATCCATAAACATTCACTCCTTTTGGCGCATGAATTTTGCACCAAATTAATTACGTAGATGCACAGTACTAAACAGAGAGAAGGGTTAATGACAGAACATCACATCCTGTTGTTTTGACCTTGAACTGACGGAGACTGTGTTAAAAAATTAACCCTTCACCTCAAAAGCACAGTTTCTTTAACAAAGAGAAGGATTAATGGCAGAATTTTACATCATGTTGTTTTGACCTTGAACTGACGGAGACTGTGTTCAAACATTAACCCTTCACCTTTCACACTTGAAGATATGTTTCCCTTGGCAACAGAACAGTATGTAGAAATATGTTTCACATCATAAGAAACCAAATTTTAGGACATTTAAGCAAGTCACTAGGATTTGGTTTCAGGATGTCCCTGAATACACAGTGACATATTTCACAGGGAAGCCATTTGATGAACCATCTGAAACCTTATGCCCACAAACCTCAACTAACAACATAACTAGGCAACAGTAAGAAAGGTGACAGATGAAAGTGACGCCACGTGTTAAGCAGTATCTCAAGAATGACAAAAGGCCAGTAGTATTCACACGGCTGAAAATAGCAATCTTGAAAATGCAAAGGAAGTAAAAGGAATCACAAATGATGGAATCGAGTGATTCTCAATTGCTTGTGACAAGAAATATACCCAACAAGCCATCAGAAGCCGAGAGAAAAGTAGACAAATGTCAACATCTGCCTCACTGTATCTGCCATGAAGCTTAAGGTGTATTGTGAGGCTGGTAGATATTCAAGGATGTGAACACAGTAGAACCAACATAACTGATTCACTTTAGGGACTTGTGGACAACATGTTTTAATACATTACAATTCATATAATATACCAAATTGAATGAGGTCCGAAACACTGACATTCATTAATGAACAGAATTCAAGTGTAAATTAAACATAAGTAACACCAGATGTTGTCACTTCCAATGAAGCTTAAGGGAAGAATACAGACTGACACAGACTCTTGTGGTTGCATGGCAGCAAGACACATAGATTTCTCGTATGTATGTTCCTTGCTTGAACATAAGGTGATGCTCGTCCTGAAGGAGCTTCCATAGCAGCTGCAGAAGTTGAGGTTAAATAGGCTGATGGACATCATTTTGTGATGGGGATGACAGGTATGTTAACTGCATAGGTGAAATGGAGAATGACGAATATCTGAAGTAGTATATGAATGATTTGGCAATCACAGGCACATGGAAGCTCCTGTACCAACAGCACCTTATCTCAACCAGAATGGTCAAATGAGCTGGTATACACACAAGATACATTTGGTCAATTCAGGATTATGATGCTACATTTGCTCTCCCATTGGGTTAAGGATTCCTTTCATTCAAGTTTGAAGCAGTTACACCTTTGCGACCTAAACATGTTTCAATTGAGTTGTAGATTCGTAAATAACTGACAAACACGTCATGATTGGGAATGTAGGGAAACAATGATATCAAGTTACTGTTTTTCAAATATCAACCTTGGTAATCATATTCAAACAAAACAATCCATAAAAATAATGAATATTTCATGTTTTATAATTGGAGTTTTTTAAGTAAATGGTACTGCGTGATGTAACGCCAGTTGAATTCATCTTGATGCAGGTGACACAGCTGATTCTTGTCGGGAGAACAAACACTTGAGTCTCTCAGTAAGGGATTTACACGTCAGGCTTGGTGGTAAAATATTTTCATTGGCCACAACAACTGTACCAACTTCATTAAAACAGCATCCACTACAGGATTATCTCCCTTACAGGAATCAGGCTGTTCTCGAGAGTTACCTCCCTCAATATGGCCATATATATAGTTTCTTTACACTCTGTCACCTTTGGGTGGGATTCTTCAATATAAAATGCCTAGTTGTCTATAATTTCATTCTTTTCATGTACTTTCTTTCTTTTCTTCATCCAATTTTGGAGGTTTACCAAATTTAAGTGATCGGCCATCAAAGCATTCAACTAGGAAATCCTCCAGGGTTTCGTATAGATGGCGTCTTGTGTTTCCGCCTAACAAACCATGGTGTTTGTCGGTATACACCTGTAAATAAGACAAATTGTGAACAAATGTGCTTCAGTAGTTACATATGTAAAGACGTCAGTGCCTTTCTCTGTAAATGTAAAAGAAATGAAGTTTGCTTTCAAATATCTCTTGTCCCCCTTACATATTCCTATGCAAGTTGTTGACTCTCCCTCGTTCAATGACTGGTGTCCACAGCATCATCAGATTCTAGCTACCATCACATCCCCACCCCTGGTACACGTCTCCTTGACCCTAGCTATCATCACTTCGTCACCCCTGGTACGTCTCAGTGACCCTAGCTACCACACATCCCCACCCCTGGTACATGTCTTACTGACCCTAGCTACCACACATCCCCACCCCTGTTACATGTCTCACTGACCCTAGTTACCACACATCCCCATCCCTGGTACATGTCTCACTGACCCTAGCTATCATCACTTCGTCACCCCTGGTACGTCTCAGTGACCCTAACTACCACACATCCCCACCCCTGGTACATGTCTTACTGACCCTAGCTACCACACATCCCCACCCCTGTTACATGTCTCACTGACCCTAGTTACCACACATCCCCATCCCTGGTACATGTCTCACTGACCCTAGCTATCATCACTTCGTCACCCCTGGTACGTCTCAGTGACCCTAACTACCACACATCCCCACCCCTGGTACATGTCTCACTGACCCTAGCTACCACACATCCCCACCCCTGGTACATGTCTCACTGACCCTAGCAACCACACATCCCCACCCCTGGTACATGTCTTACTGACCCTAGCTACCACACATCCCCGCCCCTGGTACATGTCTTACTGACCCTAGCTACCACACATCCCCACCCCTAGTACATGTCTCACTGACCCTAGCTACCACACATCCCCACCCCTGTTACATGTCTCACTGACCCTAGTTACCACACATCCCCACCCCTGGTACATGTCTCACTGACCCTAGCTACCACACATCCCCTCCCCTGGTACATGTCTCACTGACCCTAGTTACCACACATCCCCTCCCCTGGTACATGTCTCACTGACCCTAGCTACCACACATCCCCACCCCTGGTACATGTCTCAGTGACTCTAGCTACCACACATCCCCACCCCTGGTACATGTCTCACTGACCCTAGCTACCACACATCCCCACCCCTGGTACATGTCTCACTGACCCTAGCTACCACACATCCCCACCCCTGGTACACGTCTCCTTGACCCTAGCTACCACACATCCCCACCCCTGGTACATGTCTCACTGACCCTAGCTACCACACATCCCCACCCCTGGTACACGTCTCCTTGACCCTAGCTACCACACATCCCCACCCCTGGTACATGTCTCACTGACCCTAGCTACCACACATCCCCACCCCTGGTACACGTCTCCTTGACCCTAGCTACCACACATCCCCACCCCTGGTACAAACTCAACACCATGATGACTCACCTGTAACCTGAAATATACATTAGCTTCTGTCAGAGCCTTCATGAGCTGAGCGGAGTGCTGGAAGTGAACATTGTCTGAAACACAAACAATCATCATCAGCATTGTCAGCAGTTTAACCACATTTGTCATTTGTCACTCAAATGTACCTCTAACTGATCATTATGTAGCCTATGTGGGCCTCTGGCCTTATTAGATTTCTCTGATCTTTTTTTAACCACAGCTGTCACTGTATTGTCGACATTCTGATAATTTCCCTACATCAATATCAATTGAATAAAAAAATATTTAACAAAAAATAAACCCTATATGATTCATGTAAGGAATTAACATGTGGGTGTTGCCTCTTATTCACAATCAGTAGTTCCAAAGAAGAAATTTACTTGAAGATATAACTATTTGGAAGCACAAAGACATTTACTGCCACAAACACTGGATCAACATTTGCAAGACCTGCAAAGACTGAAATGCCACAGATAAGTGTTTCACTTTTGACAGATCTGTAGAATAGCAGTCCACTAACTAACAGACAAGATCTGCATACCATCGCCAGTGCCGTGAACCAGCATGAACTTGGTTTTCTTCATCCTTTCTGCATAATGTGATACATTGGCGTCCTGGAAGAGAAACCATTGTTATAAAATATCAGTCTGTGACTTTAGCCTATAGTCCAATCAATTCTAGTAAAATTCAATTTGGTCTGATATGCTCTGCTAATAATCCTAAAAGTAAAATAAAGTCAACTGAAAATGATGCCACGAGACATGTTTGGGCTGGTTCTAAGATTCAAAAGTTTTCAAACCGATTATAAAATATCAAACAATATGTGTATAATTCTAAGAATACTTCCTCTATACATCAGAACCAATGGCTGTCCTCACATGATAAAATTGTAAGAATTTCAGCAGACATTTCTCTTCACTGCCAGCCATCAACCAATCCCAATGAAGGCAGAATATTCCTGCCCAAACATCTCTGCACATGCATGAGGTGGGAAAAAGTCAACTGAGCTGAGGTTAACTTGTGCTCTGTCACGTGACGTTCATTGACTCGGAAAAGAGCGTGCGAAGCAGGGGCATAAGGGATTTCTTCTCCCGTAAAGAAATTTATTTCCCTCCCAGGCGGGATACATCGTATTTTGTCGAGGTCATGTAAACAGATCAGATCTCTTCATGTTACCACGACACAACATATTGATAAGGAACTGTTCTAGGACTCCTATGGAGTTGGAACCCATGACAAGACAGTTTGTCTCCACTCACCCTGTAAGCCTGACGGTTGTCACTGGGTCTTGGCGTGCCCATGTACCTCTCCGTGTACACCGAGTCTGAAATAACAGCAGCAGTGCCAGAAACTCAGTACAAGACAGTATAATGTGCAGGTTACAGTGGTTGGCCATATCAACTCATGAAACTGATCTACAGTTTTCCTCATGGAAAAGCAGTAACATATTGGAGTGGGATGTATAGGTTGAAACTTCTGACCGTGACCTATCATAGTATATCCTGACAGTGACCTAGCATAGTATATCCTGACATCGACCTACCATATAGTATATCCTGACAGTGACCTATCAGTATACCCTGACAGTGACCTACCATAGTATATCCTGACAGTGACTTACCATATAGTATATCCAGCAGTGACCTACCACAGTATATCCTGACAGTGACCTACCATATAGTATATCCTGACAGTGACCTACCATAGCATATCCTGACAGTGACCTACCATAGTATATCCTGACAGTGACTTACCATATAGTATATCCTGACAGTGACCTACCATAGCATATCCTGACAGTGACCTACCATAGTATATCCTGACAGTGACCTACCATAGTATATCTTGGCACAGGTCTACCATAGTATATCCTGACAGTGACCTACCATAGTATATCCTGACAGTGACCTACCATAGCATATCCTGACAGTGACTTACCATATAGTATATCCTGACAGTGACCTACCATACTATATCCTGACACTTACCACAGTATATCCTGACAGTGACCTATCATAGCATATCCTGACAGTGACCTACCACAATATATCCTGACAGTGACCTACCATACTATATCCTGACACTTACCACAGTATATCCTGACAGTGACCTATCATAGTATATCCTGACAGTGACCTATCACAGCATATTATGACAGAGACCTACTGTAGTATATCATGACACCTACCATAGTATATCTTGGCACAGGTCTACCATAGTATATCCTGACAGTGACCTACCACAGTATATCCTGACAGTGACCTACCATAGTATATCCTGACAGTGACCTACCATAGTATATCCTGATAGTGACCTACCATAGTATATCCTGATAGTGACCTACCATAGTATATCCTGATAGTGACCTACCATACTATATCCTGATAGTGACCTACCATAGTATATCCTGATAGTGACCTACCATAGTATATCCTGACAGTGACCTACCATAGCATATCCTGACAGTGACTTACCATATAGTATATCCTGACAGTGACCTACCATACTATATCCTGACACTTACCACAGTATATCCTGACAGTGACCTATCATTGTATATCCTGACAGTGACCTATCACAGCATATTATGACAGAGACCTACTGTAGTATATCATGACACCTACCATAGTATATCTTGGCACAGGTCTACCATAGTATATCCTGACAGTGACCTACCACAGTATATCCTGACAGTGACCTACCACAGTATATCCTGACAGTGACCTACCATAGTATATCCTGACAGTAACCTACCATAGTATATCCTGATAGTGACCTACCATAGTATATCCTGATAGTGACCCACCAGAGTATATCCTGACAGTGACCTACCATAGTATATCCAGTCGGTGACTGGAGCCACAGCAATGCCACATGGGAAGGTTTCTGTCCCTCTGCCCAGTGCCGACAATGTCAGGAACCCTCCATAGGACTGAAAACAACAGACATTGTCATTGATGTTCAAGGTATGATATGTAGTAACATTTTTACCTGACTGCATAATTTTTACAGTCACCAAAATATACTAATGATAATAAAAAGTATCCTTCAATCTCTGATATATAAATCATTAAAGTTCATTATTAGATGAACAATTATATAGGTATTTAATCATTCATGCTCACAAAAGCATATATTTCCATGTTCCTTAAACTGTAGGATCTTGTACTGAGAATTAATTAGCTGACATAATGTGATGTACGATAATGGTGACGACACGGTGACGACACGGTGATGCACAGTGTGTAAGTACTGCTATGAAAGAGATTCTCACCCATCCCCATATTGCCATCTTCTCCGTGTCCACGTAGTGCAGCTTAGAATAGTGTCTGAAACAAACATGAGGCCATGGTACAAGCAGCTTACTAACTACATCCACCTATGTCCTCCACTGTGAACCAGTATCTCACATAGCGTAAACACGGCTCCATTGAAATAGAAAACATTACTCTGGAAAATAACATACAGCAAACACAGTTTCATTTGTCAAGAAAGTACTTTCAAAACTATAAAAATGATTTTTCAGAATTCAAATACTGTCCATGTAAACATGACACATCAACAAAATAATCCTTTCCCTTTGATCAACAATTTACAGCAGAGCTGTGAGACAAGTTCAGCCTGACATTTTGTACAAAACTGCCATTATTCACTTTGTCCCAATATGATATATATCTCAAATGCAAGGTGAGGATACAAAACACAATACGATATATGAAAATAAATGAATAGAGACCCAACTAAAACCTACTGTGATAATTTAAGTCACTACAACTTATAACAGTTCTAGCTGTTACTATCAAAAATGTTCATTTGAAGCTTATAATGGCAAAATTTAGAAAATAGTATTTTACATTATATTTTCATGTGCTATAAGATGTCCTCTTTTCACATACAATTATCATATGTACAGTAAAACATGGATATAACGAACTACAAGGGACCGTAGAAATCAGTTCGTTATATCCTTTCTTCGTTATATACGTTTTCGCTCGGAAACGTCCGCCATCTTGGATAAAACAAGTATTTGTCACAGAGTGACGAAATATCCCCCGCCATATACACCATAGTACCAAATATGAAGACAATCCAGCGATTAGTTCTTGAGATATTGTGGCAACACCGTTTTCCAACTCCAAAAACAGATTTGCCTGCTGTGACCTTGAAAATGGGGTCAAGGTCACCAAATCTGACAGGTGTATGCGGTGTCTGTATATACACTATAGTTCCAAATATGAAGACAATCCAGCGATTAGTTCTTGAGATATCGCGGCAACACCGTTTTCTAACTCCAAAAGCAGATTTGCCTGCTGTGACCTTGAAAATGGGGTCAAGGTCACCAAAACCGACTGGTGTCTGCGGTGTCTGTATATACACCATAGTTCCAAATATGAAGACAATCGAGAGGTTTAGTTCTTGAGATATCGCGGCAACACCGTTTTCCAACTCTAAAAGCAGATTTGCCTGCTGTGACCTTGAAAATGGGATCAAGGTCACCAAAACCGACTGGTGTCTGCGGTGTCTGTATATACACCATAGTTCCAAATATGAAGACAATCCAGTGTTTAGTTCTTGAGATATCGCGGCAACACCGTTTTCCAACTCTAAAAGCAGATTTGTCTGCTGTGACCTTGAAAATGGGATCAAGGTCACCAAAACCGACTGGTGTCTGCGGAGTCTGTATATACACCATAGTTCCAAATATGAAGACAATCCAGTGTTTAGTTCTTGAGATATCGCGGCAACACCGTTTTCCAACTCTAAAAGCAGATTTGTCTGCTGTGACCTTGAAAATGGGATCAAGGTCACCAAAACCGACTGGTGTCTGCGGAGTCTGTATATACACCATAGTTCCAAATATGAAGACAATCCAGTGTTTAGTTCTTGAGATATCGCGGCAACAAACAGGTGGGACGTACGGACGGACGTACGGACGGTCGTGAATACTATATATATCCCCCGCTTCGCGCTTTCGCGCGGCGGGGGATAACAAAACACAATGCATGTAACTGCAGCATTGACTTGTATTAGCAGTGATCACTTCATAGCATTCAATTGATAACATTTCATAACATTCATTGAAGTATAACAAGATTGATCCGTCACTGCTGATTGTGTTGATTCGCCGCGATTGTATTGATTCACCACTGATTGCGTACAGCCAATTGTCAGTGACACCTGACACTGAGTGAGATTTCTCAGTTCGCTATACACATCACTAATTAGTGATAGATGGACTTGTCGCTGATCAGATATCAGTTCGCTGTATCCGTTCGCTGTAGAGGGTTCGTTATGTACGTAAATTTGATATGATATCATGTAAGAGATAAATCGGGGATTTTTTAACAGTTTGTTGTATCCGTTTGTTCGCTCTATCCATTTACGTTATATCCGTGTTCTACTGTAAATGCATACACGACCTGCTCAACCAGGCACAAGGTATCATGATGCACAAATACTTCAGTAAATGGCTACAACCATGTTATATAATGTCTACCAATGGGCGGTCGGTTAGTCTAGTGGTTAAAGCGTTTGCTCTTCACGCTGAAGACCCGGGTTCGATTCCCGACATGGGTACAATGTGTGAAGCCCATTTCTGGTGTCCCCTACTGTGACATGCTAGAATATTGCTAAAAGCGACGTAAAACCATACTCACTCACACACTCTACCGATGTCTACCAGTGTCTACCCATGTCTACCAATGTCTACCAATGTGTACTCACTCTCCTGCCTTGATGGCATCATCCACTTCGACTGTCCCGAGACGCTTGTATATCTGCTGCAGGAAGGTCTGACCACGCCCCCCTGAGCCACGCCCATCGGCATATGCATAGATGTAGTCCTTTGAGCTAGTCAGATAGGTCTCCCAACCAATGGAGAACTCGTCCGTCACCTTCTGTGTGCCGGGGCCTCCATAGCTGAAGAGGACAGCAAGATGACTTACATGACGAAGGGTCTCATATATATATATGGGAGGTGTTTGTGTGGATGTCTTACATTTTAACTGACGAGCCATGGGGGATTATCTCCCTTGCCCTGATTGTCCTGAGGATTTAACCCGATACACATTAGTTTACGAAGGACTTACAATCCACATACCGGTATCTTTGCCAGTTATGTTACCTACCCAGTGTCCTTTTCGTAAGAAAATGGGAATCGTGCACAATGAAATAGGTCATGTTTAATTATTTATATTTAACCATTTTCCAATGTAACATAGCAAAGCCATCATACAAGGATCACAACATTTTCTTTACTGCAGATAAACTCACACGTTGAGGATGAGGGGGTATGTCGTAATCTCCTCCTTCTTCATCTTTGGTGGTAGCAACATCTTCCCCCAAATCTCTGAAACAGAAGAGACAAAACTTGAGCACTGGACATCAAGCCAATTCCCCATATGGGATCGGACGGTCAGCCTTGCTGACTAGGTTTGTACATGTCATCATAACCCAATTGCGTAGATTGATGCTCATGATGTCAATCACTGGACTTTCTGGTCTGGACTTGATTATTTACAGACTGCTGTCATATAGCTGGAATATTGCTGAGTGCGGCGTTAAACAACAAACAAACATTAATTGCAGGTGAACTACAATGCTTGCTTCCAGCTAGAGTGAGTGAGTGAGTATGGTTTTACGCCACTTCTAGCAATATTCCAGCAATATCACTGTGTGGTACACCAGAATACACACAAAAAACTTGTGATGGGCATCATGTTACCATGGTTCCTCTTTCAGTGCACCCCACTGCAGGTATCCCGTGGCAGAATAGAACTTGACTATGCTATGCTTATCATAACAGCTGACAAAATTAATGGGTGGTCACAGAGAAGTGACCAGGTTGATTGTGTGTCATCGCACCCTGACTGCATGAGGCGTTGCTCATGCTATCAACCATTAGTTAACCTGGCTTTAATTTAGTTATTCATCATGTCATCATGACATAGCTAGAATACTGCTGACAGCACCCTAAAATAACATTCACCCACTCCCAGTGCCCACTGTGAAATAGGGGCAGTAGGGTAGCCCAGTGGTTGAAGCATTCACTCGTCACGCTGAAGGGCCAGGTTTGATTTACCACTTCTGTGAAGCCCATTGGTGGTAATATTGCTGGTAAATTGCTAAAAACGGTGTAAAAACCCAACTCACTTACACTGTAAAAAAAAACTATTGCTCCCTGGAGGACTTAAAAAATTATGTTTACATGAACTATTTCATATTTTAATGAAACTGTATGTTTCTACTCCTGATGAAAAAATCAAGAAGGATCAAATATTTCAACAACCAGTAGTTGCCCACATATAAGACATGTAATGGCTATTCAGGGTCCCGATCCACTTTATGACCTATTGTAACTCTATAGTTCATCATAAGCTAAGGGATGTTGTGGCACTACGGATGCTTTGTGGATCAGAATCCTGTATACTAAACAAATGTCTATACTTACTTTCCCCATTTTCAATCTCAATGAATATATCTTCTTGTCTTGGCAGTGCCTTTTTGGACAGTCTTTCTCCAAGGATTGTATTGTTCTCCATACGTGCAACTGAAAACAGCAATAGTGTTTACTGAATATACTTCACGGAAACACAATTAAATACAGTGTCGTAAATACAGAATTCTCTCAGAAGCTGAATATAGTGAGAATGTTGAGATCTGATTGATTCACATTATCTTGATAAAATATAATGCATATTCTGCCTGGGAGGGAAATAAATTTCAGAGCAGGAGAATACACCTCTTATACCCCGCCACGAAGAACACAGGCTGCACATGGATTACTGAGCCGGAGAATAATCCCTTCTACCCCGTATGTTCCCTGCCTGAATGACTTACTCTCTTCCAGAGTGCTGGTGTCGTACAGGGCGTAATACGGCACTCCCGGTCCCAGACACTCCAGGATGAAGTAGTGAGATGATCCGCTGAAGCTTGCACTCACATACTGGCACTTCTCGTCAAGGTCACATGTGATGCAGTTCACCTTGCGATCATGGTCAACACTGAAACAAACATGATTTTTTTTCATCTCATAACACTGTTTACAATCCTATTATCATACATAAAGAAGAACTTTAAAAAAATAATATTTTAACTTCATTTATCTCTTTTAGATCTCAGCAGTAAAAAAATAGTGTTGGTGACTTTAATATATTTTCTCTATCATGTTTATGTACAAAGGTCAAAGAAATTTCGCAGAACTTTTACTAATAAAAGATAGGATAATTGTTATTATTCACATCCATGTGATAACAAAAGACATTTTACAAGTATAAGTGTGTAAACACATAAATTAACAATGCTTGTCTCTCCTATAGCCTAAGTTTGTTTGTTGTTTAACGCCGCACTCAGTAATATTCCAGGTACAAGTCGACAGTCTGTAAATAACTGAGTCTGGACCAGACAATCCAGTGATTGATCCAGTGACTGATATCACAAGCATAACAATCTACACATTTGGAATACCATGACATGCATCAACCAAGTCAGCGATTCTGACCGCCCAATCCCGTTAGTCGCCATTTACGACAAGCATGGTCGCCTCTTACAGCAGGCATGGGTTGCTGAAGACCAGCTAGTTCTACCCTGGATCTTCACGGGAACAAGCATGGGTTGCTGAAGACCTATTCTACCCAGGATCTTCACGGGAACAAGCATGGGTTGCTGAAGACCTATTCTACATCGGATCTTCATGGCGACAAGCATGGGTTGCTGAAGACCTATTCTACCCCAGATCTTCACAGGGACAAGCATTGGTTGCTGAAGACCTATTCTACACCGGATCTTCATGGCAACAAGCATGGGTTGTTGAAGGCCTATTCTACCCAGGGTCTTCACGGAAACAAGCATGGGTTGCTGAAGACCTATTCTACACCGGATCTTCACTGGGACAAGCATGGGTTGCTGAAGACCTATTCTACACCAGATCTTCACAGGGACAAGCATGGGTTGCTGAAGACCTATTCTACCCCAGATCTTCACGGGAACAAGCATGGGTTGCTGAAGACCTATTCTACACCAGATCTTCATTGCGACAAGCATGGGTTGCTGAAGACCTATTCTACCTCAGATCTTCACAGGGACAAGCATTGGTTGCTGAAGACCTATTCTACACCGGATCTTCATGGCAACAAGCATGGGTTGTTGAAGGCCTATTCTACCCAGGGTCTTCACGGAAACAAGCATGGGTTGCTGAAGACCTATTCTACCCAGTTTTCACTGGGACAAGCATGGGTTGCTGAAGACCTATTCTACCAAGGATCTTCACAGGGACAAGCATGGGTTGCTGAAGACCTATTCTACCCAGGATCTTCACAGGAACAAGCATGGGTTGCTGAAGACCTATTCTACCCCAGATCTTCACAGGAACAAGCATGGGTTGCTGAAGACCTATTCTACCCCAGATCTTCACAGGGACAAGCATGGGTTGCTGAAGACCTATTCTACACCGGATCTTCACGGGGACAAGCATAGGTTGCTGAAGGTCTATTCTACATTAGATGGGCTGTTGAAGGCCAGCTAGTTCTACCCCGGACCTTCACAAGGTTACAGCCCCAGTATTACCTGTACACATGCTTCTTCTTGGGGTCCCCTCCATTTCCAAGGAAGTAGCTGTTGAAGAAACAAAACACTGTCAGCAAGACATCTAGAGACACCTTCATGTTCAGGCTATCATATGAAACAAAGTTTGCTTTTCCTTGAATTGTTACATCAATCTTAGTAAGGTGTTATGTATCCATAATATGGACAAAATGGTATTCCCGATACAGCTTAAACTCTTGAAGGAGATCAATCATGCGGGTAGCACACAAGTGAGTGATTGAGTGTGTACGGTTTTACCACTTTCAGCAAAATTCCAGCAATATCACAGCAGGAGGCACTGGAAAATTGGATTCACACAATGTTACGATGTGCGGAATTGAACTCAGGCCTTTGGCACCACAAGCTGATGCTTTAACCACTAGGCTACCCCACCGCCTCGGTTGCACACAAAGAACATAAATGAACATACCATCTTCGACGTAATAAGCGCCCTGCTCTAATAAGCGCCCACGGCGATATTTACTAATATACTGGCTAGTGAACAATCTCAATTAGCACCCCTTCCAACTGTACACAAAACTTATTTATTCATGTATAATACGCACCTGTATGTTATATGCAACCTTAATTATGGGCAATTAAATCCTGGAAAAATATTATAAACATTTCAGGTTGTCAGCATAAACCACGAAATTTACGATCTTTCAACTCAAAATAATATTCTAATAAGCCCCCTATTTCTAATTTTGAGAGCGCCCTGGACCCTTATTACGTTGAATACGGTATTATAATTATGATGCATAGAATCATCAAGAGATTTGATATCTAAAGAGTTTGAGGTGTCACTCCACCGGTGGATACATCGGAGGACTTCCTATGTTGAACTACTTACACCAGTTTCTGCTCGTTGTCGTAGCTGAGGATCTTGGTGACCTCCGACTGGTCCAGAGTCAAGAATATCTTGCTGTCGCCTGTGTTCCCTCCCTGTAAATAGACCAAAATAACCTCATTTCCACAGCAGTCACAACTGTCACATTCTCAGACACAATTCAAAGACCATAAACAAACAAATTGTCTATATACTTTCAAAAGTGAGAATTGTCTCCCCTTATACATTGAGGAAAGTCATATTTGTTTGCTTTTGAACAAAAATATACCCGACTTCTTTTAAAGTCAGTATTGATAACAGCTTCTTTGTTGTTATTTTTGCCTGATGAAGACGCAAGACATTGCCCAGAAATGTTTTAAAAACAAAAAAGTTATTATCAATCTAAAACAAAGTTCCATAATTTACATGTTCACCCAACTTCTAAATGCCAATGAAAGACTTCAGCAAATACATGTATGATGTGCAAGTTTGTCCATTGACAGTTTAATTCTCTATATTTTACGTACCCTGGACTCAACCATGGCGACATGTTTGAAGTATCCAGCATCCTGGTCTCGCTGAGGCAGCACCCAGAAATACCGAGACCCGTCTGAGGAGAAGACTGGAGAAGTGTACTGAAACAAGAATAGTGTCCATCAGTGACAGGTCCCTGTGTCTCCACACCTGACAGCTGGGGCTGTGACCTTTGTTTTGTTGTTTGTTTGTTTGACGCCACACTCAGCAAATATTTCAGTTATATGACGGCGATTTGTAAATAATCGAGTCTGGATCGACCAGACAATCCAGTAATTAACATAATGAGCATCAATCCACACAATTGGGATACAACTACATGCTCTCAACCCGGTCACCAAGCCTGACCACCCGCCTCATATTGTCATACTGATTTCATGTAACAATTCTTGTAATTCCCGAGCGAGGGTGATGGTTATACATGAAGTCTTACATACCGTATTCAACGTAATAAGTGCCCCGCTCTAATAAGCTCCCATGGCAATATTTGCTAATATATTGGCAAGTGAACAATCCTAATTAGCACTCATTCCGATTGATTAATGTACACAAAACTTATATATTTGTGTATAATACGCACTCGTGTGTTATATGCACCTTTAATTATGGGCAATTAAATTCTGAAAAAATATATCTGTCGTAGATAAACAGTTCAGACTGTCAGCATAAACCACGAAATTTATCTTTCAACTCTGTTTTTTCCCACCAAAATAATATTCTAATAAGAGTCCCCTATTTCTAATTTTGAGAGCGCCCTGGGCGCTTATTACGTCAAATACGGATGCATTTTTTTGTATTCCCTTTGAGCTCCACTTTAGAAAAATGCACTGATCACAATTAAATGCCGTCTTAAAATTATAATTTCGAATGAAGTTATCTTCAGCTATGACGTTGTTTCTAGTATGCCCTCATCCCAACCTTATGTCACAAGAAGATTTGAATGACAAAAACAATGCCATTGGGATGATGTAAACAAGATACTGGTGCACATAAAGTGATATTTGAACATACGATTTTTATGCACTCTGTTATTTCTAAACCTATGGGTAATAGCTACATGTATGACATAAACACATCAGGGAAAGACCCATGAAGATTCCGGAAGAATAGGTCTTCAGCAACCCATGCTTGCCATAAAAGGTGACTATGCTTGTCGTATGAGGCGACTAACAGGATCGGGTGGTCAGGCTCGCTGACTTGGTTAATGCATGTCATCGATCCCAATTGCGTGGATCGATGCTCATGATATTAATCACTGGATAGTCCGGTCCAGACTCGATTATTTACAGACCGCCGTCATATAGCTGGAATATTGCTGAGTGCGGCGTTAAACAACAAACCAAACCAAACCAAAACATCAGGGAAACATGCTCACCAAATCAAGCCATCCTCCATGTCCCTGTTCCCTCAGGCTCTGTAACAAGACAATACATTGTCAGCTCAACATCCTCCACGTCTTCCGAGAGAGAAACTATACTACTCCACCATATATTGTGATATTTTTAACGTTCCATGATACACAAACCTGATTCTTATAACAGGCAAAGTGTATATTTCAACAGAATGGCATTCACGATTATCCCTATTAATAGTAGAGCAGTATATATATTCCTTAAGATAGCAATAAAATTCATTTCATCTCATTTAATACAGTTGGCAAGTAAACAAACATGTTAATAGCATAAAAATTAAACAACTTTAATAATCTAATTTATTGGGCTTATACAATTTAATGATTTGTTTCACAAATCCATTGGCCCATCTATTGTGAAATTGCCATTGGTTCAGTGTCACTAGTCTGTCCAGTAGGTCAAAGATTGGTATGGCCTGCTTTCACCACCGGCCTTCTGAAGAAATTTTGAACACTGATCAAATATGACCAAAGTTTTCACACAATCTAAATGATGAAAAGCAGCTGCAGACTTTACAGCCATAGGTTACTTTCAGCATTGGAAAAGAGACGATGAATCACTTGAAAATTAGGTTTCTGTCGGGTGCATAATACATCACTTCAAACCCAAATCAGACCTGAGTACCCGATATTTGCCGTTTCCAGACTGTTTGTCGCCTATTAATTATTTGGTTAATTTGCACTTTCTGTAATGACTGTAATCCCTAATTTTCACATTTAATATGTACCTGTACCTGTACCTGTCAGAGACCTATTGGAAATACGCTAAATTTCTTTCATAATCCTTTTTGAAGAGCAGGCAATGTAGTAGTGTCAACTAACCTCTTGACACTGAGCATCCTTGGCAGTGCACTTGGTGATGATGGAGAAGTTCTGGGGGCGATTCAGCCAGCTCACTAGCAGCGAGTCGTCATCCTTCCAGGTGATGGTCGTGAAGTAGTACTCTCTGAAAACATAGGACAGTTGATGTGATTATACTATGATAGTTGTCTAAAGTGCCACAATTCACAGTGCAGAGTTACGCCTGAAAGGTTTGAATCCCCATTCATCATGATTCTGTTTCAAGGTTTGTGAGCACCGTACCCTGCTTGTGGGTTTCACGAAAGACGTTAACGTGTTAGACCTGCATTACCTTGGGCTTTCCTCCCACATCCAACTGACACGCTGTGATATGACTGAAATACTACTCAAAGAGTTAAACCAAACTCACTCACTCACCCTATGATAATAACCCATTATTGTATGTCATAGAGTGAGCAGTATTCATGTACGCACATGGTTTTGATAAATACACCACACTTGTCAGTAAAAGTAGTCATTCCATGACAAAATAATTTAAGGCTTGTCCAAGTATAACCAGTAGTCAAAATAGAATAAGTAATGACATATGAAGATTATATACACACAACAAACAAACTCACATGTTTCGGAAATCTTGTGGTGGCTGGATAGTCTTTGTGACTTTGGTCTCGATGTTCACAATCTTGAGCTTGAACGTTGGATTTGGGAACCCTGGCTGTAGAACACAAAAGACTCAACTTGTTAAATTTAGGCTGCTAATGACAAAGAGTGATGTTCAGTTTTCTACACAGATGTGTGAACAAGGTCTCGCAAGGTGGTGGACCTGTCCGGAGTTTGTGTGTGTGTTACTCCAGATACAGCTTCTCCCTTTGTTACAATGTAACATTTTGATGTGGAAAGAACATCACTGGATGCAGTGTTTAACAAAGTTGCTCTCTCATATTCAATGTTGTCTGCCTGGATACTGCAGGAACTGGTGAACACACAGCACAAACATTGGGTGGATTTGCTGTTGACTAGGGGTAAAATATCTGGTCCTGTGATAGGATTTGAACCATACAACTTTGATCCATGGTCGCATACCTAATCAACATGACCAAAGAAGTTAACCCCGTCAAGCAAGCTGACAAAGTAAGGATGTCATCTGTGGGATGACTCCACATCCTGCTACACTGACATGGTAAGGATGTCATCTGTGGGATGACTCGGCACCCTGCTACACTGACATGGTAAGGATGTCATCTGTGGGATGATTCCACACACTGCTACACTGACAAGGTAAGGATGTCATCTGTGGGATGACTCCACACACTGCTACACTGACAAGGTAAGGATGTCATCTGTGGGATGACTCCACACACTGCTACACTGACAAGGTAAGGATGTCATCTGTGGGATGACTCCACACACTGCTACACTGACATGGGAAGGATGTCATCTGTGGGATGACTCCACGCCCTGCTACACTGACAAGGTAAGGATGTCATCTGTGGGATGACTCCACGCCCTGCTACACTGACAAGGTAAGGATGTCATCTGTGGGATGACTCCACGCCCTGCTACACTGACAAGGTAAGGATGTCAGTGGAGTTTACTGGCATCAGATATATTTCAGATTCAGAGCAGCGATAGAAACTAACTGTTTTAGTACACTAGTCATTACAATGATAACATACAGCACAACCCTTAATCATGGCAAATTTCTACTTGTCCTTATGATACATTACCTATTGTGCAGTTTGGCAAGGACTATAGGACTAGCCCCAATCCAATGCTGGAGAGTTTAAAAGACGAAAAAATACAAGCCATTTAAAAACATGTGCCATCTTGATGAGTTAGCCACGAAATATGAGTGTGTGACAAGTTTAGTGGCAAAACAACTCTCATGCAATCTGCCCATCCCAGCTGGTTGGGCAGTGTCACCAGAGAACGGTCAAGACTTGCTGATTGGATTTTACAGCAGGAAAACAGGGCAACCCAGGTAAAGGTGTTTCCAACATAGTTACATACCTTTGGATATGCAATTTTCCTGGTCTCGCCATAGGCACTGTTCATGTCGCCATAGATGGGAAACTTGTACTCGGGGACGTCGGTGTCGTTGAAGACAGCGTAACAGAGGTAGGTGCCATTAGCTGACCACCAGACAGCATTGTCAGCGCCCAGGATCTCCTCTGGATAAACAGTTAAATACATCAGTATGTCCAGCTTACTAGTACCTAACCGAATCAATGATGATAGAAATGTCTTCAATACTACGATGACCTTCAGAAACAAAAGCCATAAAAAGACTGGGACTGAAACCTACCTTCATACACCCAGTCCGGAACCCCATTGTAGATGAGGCCTGGGATCCCATCTTCCACCACGGCTGTAGGGCTGGATTCAATGTCTGACTTGTAGTAGATGTTGTTTTCCTGGATCATCAGCTGAAACAGTGGATCATGAGCGTGTTATTCCGTTTGAAGACTGTGAGGTGAACTCAGACCAAACTACAATTGCCTACATTATGACATTCACTTGAAGCCCCCAGGACCATCAACAACATACTTAGTTAATTGTTTTTTTTATGAAAAGTGTATTAATGACATAAAACACAATACCAATAAGGATTCTGCAGGTATGATAAAGTTATATTACCGTATTCGACGTAATAAGCGCCCCGCTCTAATAAGCGCCCACGGCGATATTTGCTAATATACTGGCTAGTGAACAATCCCAATTAGCACCCCTTCCGATTGATCAATGTACACAAGACTATTTATTCATGCATAATACGTGTGTTATATGCACCCTTAATTATGGGCAATTAAATTCTTGAAAAATATATCTGTCGTATATAAACAGTTCAGGCTGTCAGCATAAACCACGAAATTTACAACTCTGTTGTTTTTCACCAAAATAATATTCTAATAAGAGCCCCCTATTTCTAATTTTGAGAGCGCCCTTGGCGCTTATTATGTCGAATACGGTATGTTAGTTTGTTTGTTTATTATTCTGTTGTGTAATGAAACATTCCAGGTGTTTATCAGTGACCTGTAAATAATCAAGTCTGGACCAGACAATCCAGTGACTGATATTTAAGAGCAAGGGTCTACATCGTCTGGATACGATGACATGCAATCAACAAAGTCAGTGAGTCTGACCAGGTGATCCGGCAAGTCACGTCTTACAATTAGCGATGGCTACAGGGGCCCAATTCCAACCTGGAACACCTGCAGGGTCACATTGTCTTAATAATTAGTTCATCAAGATAATGGGGTTCAAGTTAAGTAGTACTTTTTGGAAATGTCTGTCATGTTGGTTTGTGTTGGCACCAGAATCTCAAATGGTTGTGTTTTGGCAATTTTCCATCTTTTCACCACATCGATCTCCCACATGGGTACAATGTGTGAAGCCCATTTCTGGTGTTCCCTGCCATGATATTGCTGGCATATTGCTAAAAGCGACGTAAAACCATACTCACTCACTCACTCACTAATGTAAAGCAGATACAAAGAGGGGAACTAGTGTTTGCTGGACTTTGTACCTCACAGGTCGAGATAGTTTGACTACCGTATTCAACGTAATAAGCGCCCAGGCTCTCTCAAAATTAGGAATAGGGAGCTCTTCTTAGAATAAAATTTTGGTGAAAAAAAAACAGAGTTGAAAGATCGTAAATTTCGTGGTTTATGCTGACAGCCTGAAATGATACAAAAGAAAAGTCTGTGCATATTATGCACAACAGATATATTTTTCCAGGTGCATTTTTAAGGGTGCATATAACACTCGAGTGCGCATTATACACGAATAAATAAGTCTTGTGTACATTGATCAAACGGTGCTAATTGGGATTGTTCACTAACTAATATATTAGCAAATATCGACGTGGGCGCTTATTAGAGCGGAGCGCTTATTATGTCGAATACGGTAATTGAATTTGCCACCTGCTGTACACTTGCTGAGTGACACTTAACTCACTTACCAGACTATGTCCTCTCGGTGCCCAGGCCACATACTGGTACCTACTGCCTGCACCAGGGCCCCGGAGCTTGGTCAGGACTCTGAAACACACACACCACTTAAACCACATGTGACTTCATTTTCTTGTTCAAATGCTCCATTGTATTTAGGAATGGACAGTTGGTTATCAATTATTCATTATCTTGAACCAATGTTTCAATTAATTTACACATAAAATTGACAGAACTATTTCTTATTTTGACACTCAAGGGAATAATTTCAAATTTTGTCGGAAAACGTGTGTCACGAGCACGGCTTAAACCTGCATGGTATGATTTGACGATTTGTAATAGTCGATGTAGGGTCGGGTGACAAATAACTGTATATAGTGTGAATTTAACTATTACATATGTTCAAATATGTGTAGAATCCTTTGAAGCTTAGAAAATATTATAGTGAGCTCACCGAGTGTTGATATCATACACACTATAGGAAGCTAGAGTTGAGTGGCGGTACACCTGAAGCAAAGAATAACAGAAATATACAACACTGTTATCAAGTTCGTAGTATCTAGTGATATTTTAATAATGTGATATGATGATATCCAAAAAAGACAAGTGTCACTGACTCGATCTGTTTACACTACCAGCTTTACTTTCTCTACAATTCAAAACCAAAAAAATGTTTATGGAAACATGAAAACACAATCCTAACCAGATCAACACAGCAGGTGAGATAATTATTGTTTCAAATAAAACTTATTAATATAGAATATTATTTTCAAAACATCTTATAAGGATAGTAATGAGCAGGTGCTTTTCCAAATCCCTGCTGATGTGTTCTACAAGAAACTTTTCACACAAACCTAGGCAATTAAGTCTGTAAATGACATCTGGGCCCACTTGCACAAAGCGATCTTAGCGCTAAGATGATTATAACTCCCATACTTTAACATTGGCTTATACTAGTCGTAGTGCTGAGATGATCATAACTTCCATACTTTAACATTGGCTTACAATAGTCGTAGTGCTAAGATGATCATAACTCCCATACTTTAACACAGGCTTACAATAGTCTCAGGGCTAAGATGATCATAACTCCCATACTTTAAGATTGGCTTACAATACTCTCAGCGCTGAGATGATCATAACTCCCATACCTTAACATTGGCTTACAATAGTCGTAGCGCATAGATGATCATAACTCCCATACTTTAACACAGGCTTACAATACTCTCAGCGCTAAGATGATCATAACTCCCATACTTTAAGATTGGCTTACAATACTCTCAGCGCTAAGATGATCATAACTCCCATACCGTAACATTGGCTTACAATAGTCGTAGCGCATAGATGATCACAAACCCATACTTTAACATTGGCTTACAATAGTCGTAGCGCATAGATCGCTTTGTGCAAGTGGGCCCTGTTGGAGAACTAACCCACTCTACCAAAAATAACGCCTTGTTGTATTTGACCATCACATTTTGTAAATACTCACAGGCTCAACTTCAGATTTCAACAGGACGTATTTCTTGTCCGGCGAGAGGGAATACTGCCCAGTATCCAACTGCCTCTGTAGAAGAAGGTCAATCCTTTGTCAACATTGTATCTAACATACCTACCAATACATGCAATAGGTATCTTTTTGCATTAAGTTTATCCATGGTACTGTGTTGCCATGGAGACATTCAACAATATTGCACAGCTTAATCCACTGTTGCCTCTACACAAATGGTGTGAATATGTCAATGAGAATGAGCGTGGTAGATTTTTCATTCATAGCGGGACATATACTAGTGGTAGAGTGTCTGCCTGTAAAGGTCGAGGTTTCAATCCCCAGCCGCATCATACCAAAAGACTTTAAAGGATGGTACTTGTTGTTACCCTGGCTGGTGCTCGGCATTAAGGTTTGTTTGTTGTTTAATGCTGCACTTGGCGGGGTTCTGTAAATAATCGAGTCTGGACCAGACAATCCAGTGATTGACAGCATGAACATTGATCAACACAATTGGGATATGATGAGATGCATCAACCAAGTCAGCGAGTCTGACCAGCCGATCCTGTTAGTCGCTTCTTACAACAAGCATAGTCGCCTTTTACGGCATGTATGGGTTGCTGAAGACCTATTCTACACCGGATCTTCCCAGGTATGGCATTAAGGGGCTAAAACAAGAACTTGTCGGCTCTGAGTCAGTATACTGAGTGGGGTAATTGTTGTCAAACTATGGCATGGTATCTCTAGCACTATAAAATGGGCATAAGTCTTGACTAGTACAAGCACACATGCATGCACGTTGCTATACATGTGTAATAATCTTAGAAGCGACGTTACACTCCATTTCACTTCATGCACAGCATGCATCGAGCTGAACATACTGAATTTGTTCCTTCCTTCCACCGTGACAGACAGAACCAGCATGAACACCTCAAGTACCTCAAGTGTCCTGGCTCTGCTGTATCTGTGACTGTATACTTACAAATGTAGTGTTGTCCATGAGCGGGTTGGAGGAGTTTTTGACACAGTCAAACTCAGCCAGTGCCCCCTCCACATTCCTGTAGATGAACTTGTCCTCTCCTGAAACAAACACACCACAATCAGTTCACAGTTCATAGTCAGAGGGGTACATACAGAAATGTTCTCTCCTGAAACAAACACACCACAATCAGTTCACAGTTCACAGTCAGAGGGGTACATACAGAAATGTCCTCTCCTGAAACAAACACACCACAATCAGTTCACAGTTCACAGTCTGAGGGGTACATACAGAAATGTCCTCTCCTGAAACAAACACACCACAATCAGTTCACAGTTCACAGTCAGAGGGGTACATACAGAAATGTCCTCTCCTGAAACAAACACACCACAATCAGTTATCAGTTCATAGTCAGAGGGGTACATACAGAAATGTCCTCTCCTGAAACAAACACACCACAATCAGTTATCAGTTCACAGTCAGAGGGCTACATACAGAAATGTCCTCTCCTGAAACAAACACACCACAATCAGTTCACAGTCAGAGGGGTACATACAGAAATGTCCTCTCCTGAAACAAACACACCACAATCAGTTCACAGTTCACAGTCAGAGGGGTACATACAGAAATGTCCTCTCCTGAAACAAACACACCACAATCAGTTCACAGTTCACAGTCAGAGGGGTACATACAGAAATGTCCTCTCCTGAAACAAACACACCACAATCAGTTATCAGTTCACAGTCTGAGGGCTACATACAGAAATGTCCTCTCCTGAAACAAACACACCACAATCAGTTATCAGTTCACAGTCTGAGGGCTACATACAGAAATGTCCTCTCCTGAAACAAACACACCACAATCAGTTATCAGTTCACAGTCAGAGGGCTACATACAGAAATGTCCTCTCCTGAAACAAACACACCACAATCAGTTCACAGTTCACAGTCTGAGGGGTACATACAGAAATGTCCTCTCCTGAAACAAACACACCACAATCAGTTCACAGTCTGAGGGGTACATACAGAAATGTCCTCTCCTGAAACAAACACACCACAATCAGTTATCAGTTCACAGTCAGAGGGGTACATACAGAAATGTCCTCTCCTGAAACAAACACACCACAATCAGTTATCAGTTCACAGTCAGAGGGGTACATACAGAAATGTCCTCTCCTGAAACAAACACACCACAATCAGTTCACAGTTCACAGTCAGAGGGGTACATACAGAAATGTCCTCTCCTGAAACAAACACACCACAATCAGTTCACAGTTCACAGTCAGAGGGGTACATACAGAAATGTCCTCTCCTGAAACAAACACACCACAATCAGTTCACAGTTCATAGTCTGAGGGGTACATACAGAAATGTCCTCTCCTGAAACAAACACACCACAATCAGTTCACAGTTCATAGTCTGAGGGGTACATACAGAAATGTCCTCTCCTGAAACAAACACACCACAATCAGTTCACAGTTCACAGTCAGAGGGGTACATACAGAAATGTTCTCTCCTGAAACAAACACACCACAATCAGTTATCAGTTCACAGTCAGAGGGGTACATACAGAAATGTCCTCTCCTGAAACAAACACACCACAATCAGTTATCAGTTCACAGTCAGAGGGCTACATACAGAAATGTCCTCTCCTGAAACAAACACACCACAATCAGTTCACAGTTCATAGTCAGAGGGGTACATACAGAAATGTCCTCTCCTGAAACAAACACACCACAATCAGTTCACAGTTCATAGTCAGAGGGGTACATACAGAAATGTCCTCTCCTGAAACAAACACACCACAATCAGTTCACAGTTCACAGTCAGAGGGGTACATACAGAAATGTCCTCTCCTGAAACAAACCCACCACAATCAGTTCAGTCAGAGGGGTACATACAGAAATGTCCTCTCCTGAAACAAACACACCACAATCAGTTCACAGTTCATAGTCAGAGGGGTACATACAGAAATGTCCTCTCCTGAAACAAACACACCACAATCAGTTATCAGTTCACAGTCAGAGGGGTACATACAGAAATGTCCTCTCCTGAAACAAACACACCACAATCAGTTATCAGTTCACAGTCAGAGGGGTACATACAGAAATGTCCTCTCCTGAAACAAACACACCACAATCAGTTATCAGTTCACAGTCAGAGGGGTACATACAGAAATGTCCTCTCCTGAAACAAACACACCACAATCAGTTCACAGTTCACAGTCAGAGGGGTACATACAGAAATGTTCTCTCCTGAAACAAACACACCACAATCAGTTCACAGTTCACAGTCAGAGGGGTACATACAGAAATGTCCTCTCCTGAAACAAACACACCACAATCAGTTATCAGTTCACAGTCAGAGGGGTACATACAGAAATGTCCTCTCCTGAAACAAACACACCACAATCAGTTATCAGTTCACAGTCAGAGGGAAATGTCCTCTCCTGAAACAAACACACCCCAATCAGTTCACAGTTCATAGTCAGAGGGGTACATACAGAAATGTCCTCTCCTGAAACTTGTATATTGTATTTTGACTTGTATATGTTTGAGTAAAGATAAAGCGTCAGTCAACTTCAAAATACGCATGATCTGATTGTTTGATACATGTATCTAAATGGTTTTTGCCAGGACTGCGGTAAAACAATTCCCAATCAGACATTTTGTTCCCTACTCTTGAGACCTACAGTGGGTACCTGGATAGGGTCGGGTAATAGGGGGTCGGGTACCTGGGAAGTAGAATTGGACTTGTCCTTGCCCTATTTTCTATCGTCTACACATTCTGTCGTCACACGTGTTGTCTCTTAATTACTTCATGTGTGCAACCATTTGATGAATACATGCTTCATTCTTCACATGTGTTTGCTTTATCATATATTTTTTACTTGCTCAACTAATGATCGATAAAAAGTTGGATGGATTGAAAACAACATTTAAGAATATTCTCAAGCATTCCCGCTTCCATGGTTAAGTTGACACACAATCAAATATTCTCACAATATTTCTATCAATATACATCCTTTTTTTGTTAAACCATTATTGAATTTACCCCTTCAATGGTTCTTTAGAAACACTGACGTCTTAATGGCCGTGTATAAAGAAGGCTGAATTCTGACGTACAGTGAATTGATTGGCAAGGATGTTTTGTGACATTCAACAAAACAGCAGCAAGTTTTCTCAAAGCTACAACAAAAGATTACACCACTCACTTCTTCTTTGTTATGACAAAAATCAATTGAAGTAATAAAATAGAAAACCAAAATACAGTCAAGCCCGTTAATCTGACACTTGGCTTTATCTGACACTGATGATGGGAACCATATAAATCAGTGGTATTTAGACCTGTTAATCCGACAGTCTTGCACTTCGACTCGGACACACCTAATTTGCAATGGACTGTTGAAATCACCCTTTAATCAGTCTTGTTACTTCAACACAGTGATCAGCGTACTCCGTTGGCATCTGACCATGCATACAAAGTTTTGATGCAAAATAAGTCAGCTAGTGGCTGCAAATTGCAACCAAACAGGATTAATCACAAGTTAAGATTAATTTGAGAAAACCTAATTTACAAATGGAGGCCAGATAAAAATATGAATAGAAAATATTTCAATACCAGGTATTGCCATCATCTAAACAGCATGTGCCACATGATCCCATGCACCCAAATAGTTTTTCATGCACTGTTTTTGTGGTTTATAGATGCGAGAAAGAGAAACACCATGTCCAATGTCTTGATGATGTGTCGGTAAAGTCAATATATGTAATAAGTCATCAAGACAATATTGCATATGAACATGCGTTGATCATGTTGATGTGATTGCAAGTATTGAGTAAGTCACAGCCCTATTTTCATTAAAATGTGGAATGTATATTTGCAATGCTATGTCAGTGATTGAATGAATGAGTGAATAAACAACCTAACAATATGAATATTTCGATTTTAATGATTTTATTACAATGTACATGTATCATTGTTATCCATCATGTAGTTGTCCGATTATTATCACAACCGTTAAGACTATTTAAATTTGGTTTATCCAAGATACTAGTTAATCCGACACAATCATATGCAATGACCCACGTCTGATAATGGGACTTGACTGTACCTGTGCTTTTGTGACTTTTTTGACAAGTGAGTGAGTTAATTGGGTTTAGAACAACTAAGAAAAGTATTCCAGTTATATCACTGCATGTCAGCTTGATGAGGGGGGAAAGCCCGAAGATATGCAGGTCTCAGACATTTACCCACGAACACAGATAGAAAACATTATCTGGGCAAACCAAGATTTCAACCGAAGGTCATAGGTTTCTAAATGCCTCCGTGGTCTAGTGGTAGAGCGTCCGCCCGGAGAGCGGAAGGTCCGGGGTTCGATCCCCAGCCGCGTCATACTAAAAAATGGTACTTGTTGTTACCCTGTCTGGCGCTCGGAATTAAGGGGCTAAAACAAGGACTGGTCGGCTCGGAGTCAGTATACTATGTCTGAGTGGGGTATTCATGTTAAACTGCAGCATGGTATCTCAGTGAGCTAGCACTATAAATCGGCATCAGTCCGGACTAGTACAAGCAGCCACACAAACACACACACGTACATGCACGTCGCTATATAAGTGCAATAATCTTGGACGCGACGTTAAACCCAATTTTACCTCACCTCACATAGGTTTCTGAAATGCCTAAGGGATGCAACTCTGCACAGTGAATGGTGGCGCCTTGGACCATTGGGCACCCATGACCCTTATACAGGATTTTGGTTTGGGATATTTGTTAAATCTCTGTTGTTCTATCAGTGTTTGTTAGTTGTTTGAATTCTTATACTTATGCACTTTTCATATTGTTTCAATCATTTTACCATACTTTACAAAAGTTGCAACAGACACTGATTTGATGTTTTAATCTAGGACCCAGTAGTTGATATTTAACTGAATTGTTTGTCAATGTCATCAGATCCCCCCTCTAATTGCAGCATACCGTACACACACACCTCTCATTATGCTCGTCAGGATGTCAGGCGTACCTTTGATGAACACCTGTTTACCATCACAAGCAAGCAATAACATTCGTAAACCTGATCTGTATTTATGTTCAATAAACAT